GAAGTCTGCGACGTCGCAAACCGAGATACGTGGTTTGGTAGTTTCACCGTCGATATATTCTTTACCATAGGTTTAAAAGGCATAATAATCGATGTATCGGAATTCACGCCACGCTACTGCTATGGCATATAGCGTTCCGAATTCGGAACAACGTATTTTTTGGGTTTTTAAAAATTGAATCTTTCCTCTGCGGCATGATGTGACAAATTTTCATTAGTTTCTTATTTTTTTGAATTACTGATTCCCTGAAATTTAAAATTTTGAAAAAAAATTGGTCCTCCATGTTTTTTTGTGCAAGCCACAAAATACATTGTGTCCCTCGGAATCTGAGGTACAGAATTAATTAATGTCATATGGGGCTAATACCAGTAGGGCCTCGTGTAGGGTGAGTAGAGGGTGGCTTTGGCCTCCACTTTTACATCAGGGATCTGATGACTCTTCCCAATACAGAGGGGGATTTCGAAAATTTTCCCCCGGATGATTTTAGAAAATTAACCCTTCTTAGATCCGTTTTAAGGCTATTCTCGTGCAATGAATTTGATTTAGACTTACAGTTCAACTCTACCAATAATCCTTGCATAAATCTCAGACCTGTCACTGTTTTTTATCATATTATACGATAAAGTGAGAGAGTGCTCCGGTTATGAGGCTATTCACCTCTGTGCAGATTTTCTGTGGGAGGAGAAGGGGGAGGGGGCAGATTATACGATTTCATATATGAAGGGGCGCCTGTCCCAGGCTCATACTAGGCCTTCCTAAGTTTTCACTAATGGTGGCAAGATAGGAATACCTCGCTCACACTTATAACATTCAGGTTGATGTAGCGAAAAAACTTGCGGTGACCTGTTTTAGTGACTCACAAGGAAGATGAAAGTAAATAGATATGTAGCTACATTAAGGATCAAGTTAGGAAAGGGAAGGAAGCTGTTCAAATTATCTTCAAGTTAATCAGCGAAAGTAAGCTAAATTCGTAAAGTTTGGTTCTTGGCACAAACATACTTGGTTTTGATTAGGTATTTGCTTTATCGACAACTGCTCGTTGTCCATCCATAGCCAACAATCTGCGTACCACTAAAATTGCCAAAAATGCTTGAAATATTTACGACAGACATAACTTTTTTTAAACTCCTAGGAGAGGTCTCAAGATCCGGGAAAAATAGGGGGTACCCACTGTTAACTCATCCAACCCTTTTTTGAGGTATGACTCTGTGACACATTTTAACCATGAGACTTCTCTTAACATATCGGAAGATTCGTTCATAATATTAAAAAAAATTGCGACGTAATCGAGGTAAGTCTGCATCCAAAACCGGAGGTCCCAAAATGCATGGTCATGCTCCATTAGGATCTCGCTGCTTCCTCGATCTGCAGCGTCATATATTTCCGTGGAAGGTACAGAATCAGAGCTGCAATACGAGGGAAATAGAAGAGGACCTCTACCTTGAGGTTATTATTCATTTACGCACATAGTCAATGATGGACGAGCCAGAATAGTTGAAACCCCTTGGCGAAGACGATTTGGGAGAAATATCTCGCAATGGATGAGATGGGACATTAAGCGTCAAATTACATGTTTCCTCATCAAAATCACTCATAAAACACGGTGAATATATTCAAAATTTACAAAATGAACTTACTGTGAACTAAAGTTTTCAATATAGAGTTTCTATTTCCAAACTCATTTTGGGAACAACGCATTTTCCCAAAGTTTTCCTAGGTTTGCGAAAAGGTGCCTTTATACAGGTGGATCCAAGGGAGGCATAGGAGGCGTGCGGGCCACTCCCCTTGGCCAAAAAGGGAGGCAGAGAAAGAGAAGAGAGAAAGAAGGAAGGAACGGAGGAAAGAGGAAATAAGGACGCTTGTATTTAGTAATTATTCACGGTAAAAATTGTTCAAGCTGCATATTAGATGCTTTTAAATTTCAACAATTTTCCGGGGAAAGCACCTCGAACTCCCCTTCCGCCAACCGCGTTCGAAACGTCTGGATCCGTGTTCGTGCCTCTACTTATTGATGAGCCAGAAATTGTATAGTTCCTTATTGCAAAATGAAGTAAAAAATAGAAAATTTTGTATTTTCCGTATTAGCAATTGTCAGCTTCCCCTGTGTCAAAAAGACAGTTTATAACAGTCGAAGGTGTAAAAAAATTAATATTACTGTGCTTTGCTATTAAATACTTTTCTTAGGGTGCTAAATGTTCAAGTGATACCTTTGAGAAGTGCCGTACCATAAAGAGAATATATACTTTTGAAAAACCAAACGTCAGTCATTCACTAGTTATGAAAGAATGTTTAGAAATTCGTCACTTTGACGTACATTGATTTTGATTATTTTCTAGAAGCGGGCAGTTTATACGGCTTGAATCATTTCCAATAACATCTGTAAATCTAATTTCTCAATGAGTCAATTTTAGGATGCCATAACACATTTAACGTGTTCTGCGCTAAGATAATATGATCAGAAATTATGTTTTAGAGTTAGTTCTTATATATCCAGCCCAGTGGTTAATTATTCTCCGCATATAATATAATTCATAAAATTTATTTTCACTTGTTCATATGCTTCCTCAGAAAGTATGCATAAATGCATCTCAAGCGCATAGTTTTACGGTTTACAGTCGTGTAAAATTTACATTTTGACCTTCAGAACCGGCTCCACACTGTCTAAATTATTGAAATTGCAGTTAAAATCTTCTTGGCCATATTTTACATTAAATAATCAAAAAATCAAGACATGTCTCGTGCTTGAAAAATAAATATATAGTTTCCTCTTTTGGTCCTTTGAAGAGGCATATACAACTGCTCAATATCTCCAATTATTTTACCCATAATACTAACATTTCAGAGTCATTTGGATATTTTATTATTTAATTTTCTTCTTTTTATTATTTTCCTCTTTTAATATAATTTTAACTTTATCACCCTAAACGCACGAATTGAGATTCACAGATAGAATCTTTGAATCGTAAACAGTTAAAAAAAAAAAAAAAACCTTATATTTCTGGAGTCACCAGAATCACGAGTAAGGCCAAAAAAATGCCCTCTTTCAATTTTCATAGAAAGAAAGGAGAGTTTGCACTAACGTATTTAATTCAGTCCACTTTATTAATTGATTGTCAAATAATTATTTATTTTTGGCCAAAGAAGTTGCCGCAATCCATTGAAAAAAAAGGTATCTCACATACCACAAATATGGAACTTTCGTCAGCGAGAACTCCGACATCATCGTGATTATATTAAGTCGTTATGATCGATTATCGATACCTCCCCATTTGAATCTATGGTAAAGAATCGATTATTAAGGTGGTCGTTACGAGCACCTTGTCTATCGATCATTTTCTATAGATTTAAATGGCAGATCAAGCGATATACCGCAAAGCCCGCTACGCCACTGTTTTGTTGAGGAATGCACGGTATTTGCCCATTTAAAGAGTAAAAAAATTCCCGAGATCCACTAAAAGCACGCTAAAATGTAGCAGAATTCTCCAAGGAAATGTGAAATTTCCGAGTCTTTCGAGGGCTTCCTGTCCTCTTTTCCTGTGTATATCATGCCCTTTAGTGGAAAATTCGATTAAATTCGATTTATGTGCATACCTTAGAAATTGACATACCGTTTTGCGAGGTACGTCTTTGAGGACTAATAATCAATAGTTTTACATCACCTCTCAGATGCATATTACATGCACCAATAGTTTCGGATATTAAGTTCAGGCAGAAGGCCACACTCACCATTTCTCTTGCATAAACTTAGAGCAACATCGTTTGAGTCAACTCTCCGAATCGATCAGCGAGTGGAACAAGATGTGGTGATCTAATGTCACTTTAATTTGAAAACTATCACCAATTACATGCAAAATAATTTTACTTGCATGCCTGCTCAGAAGCTCAGCAGAGAATAATTTTCAAATTAATCTGGTTTATCAGTTACGATCTGTGCCGTAGGTATTCATCAATATTCAGTGATTTTGCATACAGCGCACCTTGTTGAAAAGTGGTTTCTTCATTAAATTTTACCGTTGTTTGAATTGCAAAGAGTGCGACAAAAAAAAAAAAAAATAATAAAAATAATAATAATTTAGGTACTTAACCAATTTTTATTTTGTTTGCTACATGATTAGTACCTATGATATGAATTTTTTTTCATCTGACATAGTGACGATATACAAATTTAATGCAGTATTTTAGATGGATTTCGAGGAAATATCTACCTATTGCAGACGGTAGACCTCCTCAAAGTCGGGAATTTTCGCTTGAAGTGCGTCAATCCCGAAGTACTCAGTTGAGAAATATAGCTCAAAAATTTTGAAGGTAGTATAAAACCGGCCCAAAATGGGTATGGATCATTCTCAAACGCGATGATTTAAGTTCTTAAATATTGAGTTTTCTGTGCATCCCAGTTTTAATTCGTTTCAAATTCGTATGGTAATATTTAGTGACTCTATAAGCTCGCATAGATTGACTATTGCTCATTAAACATTTTTAGAGGATCGTTCGAAATTACATGGTATAGATTTACTACCAAGGTACACTGACTGCAGTGATGATAAAAAAAAAAAAAAAAAAAAAAAAAAAAAAAAAAAACTTGGGCACTTGTGTTCAGTTCCGTACCTAAATGCATTTAATTGCAATTTAATTTAATAATTCGCTGAGGAAACCTCACGAGTCATATTTTGTAGAAGAGAAACTGAATGTAAGTAATGGAAAGTTAAAAAAAAAAAAAGTGATAAGAATATGAAACTTTTCCCTCGCGATACTGCCGCTCGTTTTTCATAAAATAGGCCTATTCGCCTGAAGAAGATAGAAAAAAAAACACAAAACATAATTGTGTTTCTTTAAATCACGAATTCATGGACTATTTAAAAAATGATGAAAAATAAACCAAAAAGGTGCTCAATTTGCTTTATCCGACGAGCTCCTTCCGTACACGAGCCTGATCCAACACCAACACCGCGAAGGAAGACAGGGCGATAAAAAATAAACAAAAATATATAAACAGCACTCACACTTAGATCGGGCGACGATTTAATAGCTCTGAGACACGATGACCAGAACTAGATCGGCGTTTTGCAAGCGGTCGGTGTTGATGCCGGTGGCAGAGCAAGTTACGTACTCCGACTGAGGAGACAGGACTGAGGTTATCTCACAATCGGTGCAAGCTCGGAATGAGGCAGCCAGTAGCGCCCTCCGTGGACCCATTGTAAAAAACGCCGGATTCGCCCAGCTTCCGGGGAGTCCCGGCGTCCCAAGGTCAAGCTCCGCAAAAAGTGCACAAAAAGCGATGAGTAAGTTCGTGAATCCACGGTCCACGCGGTGCCGCAAAACATTTTGGACCCATAGAGTACATAGAGTCGTAATATAAATTGGAGAGCTGGCGCTATGTTCTGCACGACGAGTTCCGAGCCCGGTGTGCGCCGAGTTCGGGTCACTTTTTCGATACATGTTCGATCCAAAATGGCGTTGTGGAATACGTGGTGATTCCTATCTTCTTTGTTTACATAGGATGGCCGGGTACCCGTGTATCGCAAACAATCGATTACATATCGAAAAAGTGACCCGGCGTCACACAGGAGTCTCGGAATTCGGGACCTGGAAAATGCTTAAAAGTGGCGCCAGCTCACCCGCTTACATTACGACTCTATGTACTCTATGTTTGGACCGCATTAAGCAGAAAGGAACCAAGCCACATCTCCTACTGTCAAATTTAATTGGGCGATTTAATTTTTTAACTTGAAAACGATCGTACGGATTTTCGAACAAATTTCAGTACATTTTCAGCATACTGCGTAGCAAATTCTTTCAAATTTTCAAAGGAATCGGCACAAAAGTTCTCTTGTAAAAAATTAAGTTGCCCAGTTAAATTTGGCAATAGCTGGTGTGGCTTTGGTTCCTTTTCTGTTAAACGTGGTCCATTTGGACCTGTTTCGGATACGTTTGTAAGAGTCTTGCGATTGAGAGTGACTTTTTCCAGGGGGCCATTAATAAAATACGTGACGCTGCCCGCTGGACATAGGATTCCCCCCTTCCTTCTCTCCACCCCCTCCCCCTTCGGTGGAGCACCACTAACCCTGCAACCCCCTGAAGGAACGTGATGCTCTGCCAAAGCTCTCCTCAAATTGACGTTTTACGGTGAATTTTGGATGGAAAGTTGCCATTTTGCGTCGATATGTCATCATGAATTTTCGTAATGTGTTATATATGTGAAAAAAAAATATTTGGAAAAAAAATAATGTGTGATAAAAACAAATGTTTGGATTCAGCGCTACGCAACACAGTCTCGGACTCCCCTCTTACCGTAACGCGCTGGTAACGCAAAGTCAGATATCCTAGAGCGTTACGCGTTACGTATCATGAATGGCCATCAATTAGCTGACTTTTTGCATTATTCTAGCGTAAAATGAAAACTCGAAGTGAGTTGATCTGTATTTCCGCCCGTTGATCGTGAAATGGCGTGGTATCAATAATGTAAACTACACTAGCGGGTGGACTGCATTGAATTATCGCTCAGGAACTGGACTGGATGAACAGTGCGTGGCGAAGGAGGATACGCTAGAGGCGCCATCAAGGGCGCTGAAATGAGAAGAAGCAAAAAAGATGAGGAAATAGGGGAGAGAAAAAATTTTGAGAGTATCTAGTTTATCACGTAGCACTGATCGCAAGCTATTCGAAAATGTAGTTACTGCATGCTTTGATGAAACCAAAAAATGATGTGTGATGCTGTTAGTAGATATCGTCGACGCAATCTTTGGTTTTAACCCACTTTTACATCGATCTTTTACAGTCAAACACGTCCAATTTTGAATGTTTGATTGCGAATACACCACGCTGCAGCACAGTAAAAGCACAAAATATAAAAGAAATATTAAAACGCTTTGGAATTCATTAAATTAGACACGGAATCACCTTAATATTCTCAAAACACACGTTATATTTTCCTTTAATAAATATTTTTTTTCTTTCTTCAACAATGTAAATGAGAATAATCCGTGCAGAGCGTGCAAACATTTCAAAATCATGAGTTGAAAAACGCTGACTTCGCGAGTTTAAATATTAGAGCCTATCACAGAGCAAAATGCGCACTGGCGCCTACAAACCTAACGGGATACTTCACGCGTTGCGCAATGCGTGAAGTATCCCTGTTAGGTTTGTAGGCGCCTGTGCGCGTGTCACGCTGGTCGCCCGCCGCGCCGCAGAGTGCTGCGGCGTTTCAAGCAACTATTTCACGACATAGGTGTTGCACAGTATCATACGAGATTGAAGGCGCTCCAACGTATCAAGAATGACAAGCTTCCTTTAAGGGCACAGAGCTTTCCTTGCAAAATAAATCAAGATACTACGTTACAAAAAGAGAGCGGTAATCTAAAACAACTCACTTAGTGCTAGCATCCGTATTTTATAACGTTTAGCATAATTTTTGAATTTCATTAGAGAAAAATGTGACTCGATTTAGGCAGAAACTTTCTTGAGTATGCCGTCAAGAAGATTTTATTTTGAATCTAGAATAAAATAGCTGAATGAAAGCGGGTTTCTGCTTGATCTAAGTGACTTTTCTTTTTATCTAAGCATCCTTTTTTTTTAAACAGGCATTATTTTCTTTATTGATTTATAAGGAAATCTTCTCGGCGGTAAATCTGAGCATATTTCTGCTTGAATCAAGCCAATTTTTCCTCTAATTACGTTCAAAAATCATGCTAAACGTTGCTGGGTTCAGGTACTAGGACTTAGCAAGTTTTTCGACTACACCTCTCTTTTTTTCGTCGTCACTCGATTTAATTTGCGAGGGAACTTCGTGCTGCGCTTTTGAAAGATGCCATCAACCATGATACGTTGGGGTGCCTTCAATCTTGTATGATACTGTGCAACACCTTCATGTCGAATTAGTAGTTTGAAGCGCCGCGGCACGCCGGCCAAACAAGTTTCTCAAACTTCGGCTTGTTTGTAAAAAGAAACTGTCAACGCGTTGTTAAACATCAACCATGTAGGTAAGTCAACAGAAGAATGCTGAAGTCTCGGAAGTGAAAGCTTCTACCATTGTTAAGATACTAGCGGAGGGTCTCTTGTCTCTGAGTCTAACACACTTCACTGCGCGATACAAAGATATGTAGGTACAGACAACACGTGGTGTGCATCCTCAAGTCACGAGCTATTGCTGCACGGAAGATGCATCCTGCACGTAGACTATTGCATTTTACTGACGTAGATCGATGGATCCCTATCTTAAAAATTCTCCTTATCGATCGAGATCACTCGATAACGATCCAACAATTAATCGATCGAACGCTGGCATAACTTGAAAATTTAGGCGAGATCACAATGGTAGCAACCTCTTCTACTCTTCGTGTCGACTAAGTTCATACAAGTAGTGCGGATATTTTTATTTAATCAAGTCTGCACTCTTAAAATTTCGCGAGATAGAGGATGGTGCCGCTCTTTTTTTCTGAAAATTAACTCCCTGTTTTCATATGTTGAGGCCATAATGGAGGAGTGTCGAAAAAAAATTGTGAAACATCTTTTTTGCGATAAATGCAAATTTTTCTTTGATTTAAACAAAAATTGTGGGGTAAAACAAATTTTTTTGTGTGAAAGAAATGTTTTTCAACTCAAACAAGTTATTTGTCATCCGAAACAAATATAAAATCCCCCGAATCACCAAGAAAAAAACTCATTTGAATTTTAAAAAGGTCTTTCTTCCAACAATTTTCTCTTAATTAAAAACAATTCTTTACCTCAAAAATAGTTCTGTAAGCATTGAGAATTTTGTTTTAATTCGTTTTTCTTTTCTTTGAGAAATATTTATAGGGAGTACCCCAATCTTGTGAGAGAGTCTAGCAACATATCTATAAGATTCAGTGAAACTCTCCCTGGGTCGATATGGAGTGAATCCATCAGGAAGATTTCTAGCTTATTCGTGGAAATTCTAGGTATCAAAACGCTAGTAAGACTACGATATTACCTCCTTACGACATTCAATAAGGAAGAAGAGCGTCCTTTTTTAGAAAGCATCGACCGCATCCTAACACCGTCTTTTCAAATTGCGCGCCGCGCGAAGCGTGGTGAGCGACATCAGCGCGCTCTGACGGAGACCCTCCAACTACAAGACCAGCAAGCGATCGGAAAGCCGCAATCTTTGTATTTTTGTTACATTTTATTAATAACCTAATAAAACAATTTGTAATTATCAATTAAGTATCAAGTTTTATAAGTTTATCTTCCAAGCATTCCAATAATATTTAAACCCAATTTTAAAATTGAATTTGGTCCAAAGAGCATCCAAACTTTGTTCCAGCTCGAGCGCCAACTCTTCTGTGAGTAAGGTGTGTTTATATACCCGTCCGGAATCCCCGTGCTATCGGATGTGTGTGTCATGTGATGGCACAGCTGAACATCGATTGCTTTCACCGTTGTGTATTAGTAAAGCAGATCTGCTCAGTCGCGTGTCACACGTTGGCTTTCTAGAAGCACTCCGCTGCTCTCATGTCTCCGCGCATGATCGAGCGGCACCGAGCAGCTACTCGAACGCCGCGGAAGCAAATAGCATTTCATGAGGTAATTTATTCACATCCATATAACCGGCACTGCAGATCGCAGCACGCCAGTTTTTTTGCTTCTATCTGTTGTACATTTTACATGTAATTCAATTACCGTGGCTGCTCAACTACAATTTCATTGGGAGCGACAACATTAAAAAAAAAAAAAAAAAAAAAAAAAAAAAAAAAAAAACTTTAGAAAACTCTTAAATTCAAAGAGACAACTTTTAAGAAACTGTTAAAATGTTCGTGTTAGGAAGACCATTTAGGGTATATTCTTACGTAAGTAAAATTTCCGAACGATATTTAAATGAAAAAAATGTTTAAAAACTCGTTAAATATCAACTGTAGTTTTTCAACACTAAAAAGGCTTAGAAAAAATGTTAAAAAGCAACAGTGTTATTTTTAGCGATTTTTAAACGCCTTTTTCCTCAAATTTTACTTAAATTTTACCTCTTGTAAATTTTCCTTTAAAAATAGGCAAAAGGGTTTTCCTAATACAAACAATTTAACATTATTTTTAAGAGTTTTTGAAATGTTTAAGTTTGTTTATTGTTTTAAGATGACCATTATGTTTAAAGAAGGCCATTGCTACAAGGGTTGTGTTTTATCTAATGAGAGATTAAGTACTTTAATTAAATATTTTTTAATATTATGCTGTCCTGTCGTTTCGTTTTATTTATTCATTTCATCATGTGGCTATCTAGTTTCCTTTTTTTTATCCGCATGCATTTTGATGGCCGAAATGCGAAACCAGAGCCGGATTTACTTACTTGCCGCCCCCTTCTCATTCGTTTTGAAACATCAATAAAAACCATCAAGTGAACGTGCCGTAAGCGGAGGGGTGCATAAGACGCGTTTACTCGTGTTGGACACATTTTTTGCGAAAGCCCTGTCAACACCACCAGCAAAAGTTCACGGAACTTGGCACGAAAGTTAAGCCCCGTAAACCTATCTCTGTGTGAACAAGGCCTTCCATTCCATTTACATGAAATGAACGAAAATACTATGAAAGAACAAACATAAATGTGGTTTAATAATTTTAACTTCCCTTGCCGCGCCGCGTTGACCGCACTGTATTTAGCGCAATGCGTGAAGTATTCATGCAGTCTTGTAGGCGCTATGCGTTTTACGCCGCCTGCTGCTGACCGCGGCGACCGCACTGTCTTTGACGCAATGCGTGAAGTATTCATGCAGTCTTGTAGGCGCTAATTTGTGTTACATGCCGACCGCCGCGCCGCGCCGCGGGTTTCTCCTTTTCAGCCGTTCCAGGCCAAATTCCGTGTTCGGTTTCTCTCTTAGTCTTAACTCGACTAATTAAAGGTGCTGTCTATTGCATGACAGAAAGACGACAAAATTAGAGGTATACTCTCAGGAAATGAGAGATTTCGTCACCTCTTCTCGTTTGTAATTTTTTTTTTTTCTGAATCCGATTGTTCTTTACACCTATTTAAAAAATTGCAAAATTTGCCGCCCCCTAAATTTGCCGCCATAGGCCGCGGCCCATTTGGCCACCCCCTAAATCCGGCCCTCTGCGAAACCACTTATCTCCGTTTGCCACGTTGCATGCAGACCTCCTGTCAAACTTTATTTTTTCTTTACAGAACTTGTAAACGTAATTTTTGGAAAACTGCCCTGATTTTTCTTCTCTATCGACAGAATCTTCTGTGTAAATTCAAGCTACCTGAAAAGTTGGCTTCTTTCTCTGCTATAAAAAATGCAGGAGAAGCAGAAATTTTGAAATACTGGTATAAAGATACGTGGTTTAGCACTGTGACAAGTCGTGCGTAGTAAATAGTGAGTAGAGTAAGTAGCGTGAGTAAACATGCTCATTCATAACATAATTTGTGAATGAAGGGGGGGAGGGGTGAAAATTCCCCGAACGTTTGTAGAGCGTTTACCAACTTAGACATTTATGAACTTGGCTTTTTGCTCACCGAGGTAACTAATCATGAGAATAAACCTTGCTACTTATGAAAGTATTTAGGAAAATTATTTTGTTTTTGCATATTTTTAAGATTATGTGGTAACTTTGTAACGTGCATGAGAAGTTCTTGATTCTTGTGGCTATCAGTTATCGTGGTAAGTTTAGGTAAGTTGAGTGACTTCAACAAGGCATCACTGCATAATAAAAACATAACCTATCATCAATTCATCATGTCATTTTCAAAATTTCCCTGCATGGAATTGCATTGCCACAGAATTTTCTTTTCATCCAGGGTTTGGTTTTTGTGTAATTTTCTCAGAATTCTAACGTTGACCACTAATTTAAAGCAAATCATAATTACAAAACCTTGATCTCACATCTTTTACTGTTCTTGATTTAACAGTGTTTTTTAGTGCGTTGTGTCTAAGATTGAGATTTTAAGCTCAACAGGTGAACTTGAAGAATGAATTGTAGTTCAAAAGTTTTTTTCAAAGGACTGCTTCCTAAATATTATGTGAACATCTTCCGTGGATCAGTTTCATTAACTTCAAAATTAGACCTCAAGCATAGTGTTCAAACTCATAATTTCCTTGTCTTTTGTGATGATAATAAATTCTTTGACAATCAATCAAAGTATTCAACTCACTCTAGAAATCTGTTTTCATCTTCTAAATCTCTAAGTGTGTTTGGAAGTAAAATGTCAGCAGAACAACTTTTCAACTGTGTTGAATCAATCCTTGCATCGCAAGACAAACACGTCTCTGCAACACAAGAGGCAGGTGCAGCTTAAATACTATCCTATTAATCATTACAATATTGTCTTATTTTCTATGAAGAATTTTCCGAAGTGCTCAAATTGTCGAGATGTAGAGACCATCAAGAATTAAATCATTGCCCCTAGCTCTTGATAAACAGCTGTTACGCGTATTGAATGCAAAATGTTCAAGTTCCCAATATCTGCCGACTCATACTTGGGAGTCAGGTATTCTTATTATCAATGGAGTCTTAAACATGAAAGGTCACTAACATTTCACCCCGGTCATAAAGTTTGCTGTGCCCCTATCCTAGCAAACTTGGCTTGAAGAATCATTGGTTGACTCTCTATGCTTTAGGGCTATTTATCAATCCAGCTAATTTTCAGAAATGAATTAAGGCCGATCGGAATGTCAGTATTCACAGTTATGGTAAATACTAGAAGCACTGAAGGCAAGACATGCTTGAGCATTACATTCTTGTGCTCAATTGTACAGTGTTAATAATCTAGTTCAGATACGAGGAGACATTAGCAGCAGAAACAAAAAGCAAAATTGTCCTACTTTACTCTGGAGAACATATGCTTGCTTAAATTAGAGGCCTATTTGGCTCTGACAGCAACTGTTGCTGTTTCCCAAAATTAATTCCCTCCCTTGTTGACCTCCCTGCACCTGAAAAAAAATTGTCATTCATGACAAATCTTCAATGATTAAGTTTTTCTTTCACAAAGCTGTGCTGAACCTAGTGACTATGTATTGTACCCTTATTTATTGTAACATCATCATTCTCTTTTTCAGGTTGCAGTCAAATCATTTTTTAGTCACTATACTGTACTTGATCAAGAGGAGAAATTCAAATTTTTAAGAAAACTTGCTTGTGACTTTGATGTGAATCATGAAGCCGTTACTAAACATATACTTAATACGGTAACTCATCTTAAATGAATCATGTCCCTAATCTTATCCCACGGAACTTGAATTTTCAAAGTTGCTCAACTAATGTCTATGATCCTCCTGTTGATAAATTTTAGCAACTCAGAAAAAATAAAAAGACACATAAAACTAAATTTAGTTCTTCAAATCAAATGCATTGAGCCTATGCGATGGCAAATTCTTATTGTTGAAAGAAGGACTGATGAGGAATTTTTTTTGTTGGCAGGCTTACTGGAGCTCTGAAAAATAAACTAAAATAAAAAACACTAACAAAATGTAAATCAATGGCCAAAGTGCAAAACCACAAATCTCAGTTTGCCAGACACTGCAAACTTCCTGTCATATTTACTTTTTTCACCAAGAAACTAGCCAAAGTAACTTCTTGAAAATTATCCTAATTTATTTTCTCAGTTAGCAAAACATTCTATGAACATTTCAAGTCATAAAGTTGGTTCATTTTTCATCAAAGAAATAAAATTGAAGTGGAGGCATGTGGTTTCACATTTGAGACATCAAAATTGGCTTGTGACTGCTGGGGTGCATTTTTTTTCTGGAGCTCTGTTGAAATCTTTTCTTTTTTTCCATATTTTTTTCTTCAATTTTTTGTGTGTTTTCGTGTGGTTTCAGAAAACCCAATCCATGGATCAAAATGACCTCACAGTAATTGAAAATAAACTAAGGACCCTCCTCACTCCCAGCTACTTACTCCTGTTCAAAACAGTTGGTCGCTTCCAAAATGGGGTGAAATTTCTTGTTGATTTGCGAGAAAATATCTTGGTGAGGATTCAAGTTTTTCCTCTGCAATGTCTCTACAAGTTGCATGTTCTATTATACCACCTCATATCAATCAATAGATTAAAATACATATTGTTATGTTCGTCAAAAATTAGTCATTTTCACTAAAATGGACCACTACATAAGTTTTGAACTAGATGAAAAGTCACATGTTCTCCCCTTAAAATCTTCATCGAAAAGTATTCTTGCAATAGAAAGTTCAGAGATCAACTCCTGAATAAGACATATTGTGAGCGAGTATTTTTACCACAGATCAAAAAGAAGTTAGTTACATTGTATAACTTTTTCAGAAGTTGATCTCCAGACTTTCTGTTGTTTGATACGACTTCCCTGTGAAATTTGAATGGCAAACACGTTGTGTAGTGCTTTTATTCATACCTTGTCTCAGGGTCCACTGGTAGCTCTGACTCTACATATTTGCAAAATATTAATAAGGGATTCGGAAGATTCACCAAGACTTGTGAAGCCTGCAAGTAGTATAATTTATTTTTGATGTTTCGAATTTCGTTCATTGTAAATCAGTTTCTAATTTGTTAGTATCAGAATCTTTGATTAAACTATACAGCCATTTTCCTTTTCATCGTCTAATTTTATTTACAGCAATTACAAAGCAAACTCACTGCTATGGCACCTGAAAGTTCCCCCGTGAAGCAAATGAATATTACTCTGAAGAATTTAATATCTGACTGGTTTAGTGTCGGATTTCTGGAACTTCAACGTATTACGTGGAAATCTTCTTGCCAAATGCTTCAGAAGGTACGGAAACATTTTATCCCTATCCCTATCCCTCAACGAGGCAACAGGCTTGATCACGTGACATGGAGAAACCGCCATGAGAATGAGATGAAACTAAGGAGCCCTCAAGAAAACGGAAGAAATTTGAGGCACCCTCTTAGATTGCTCTCAAAATTTGCGATTTTATAGCAAAGTGGTGGAAAACTTTGATTTGGGAGGTAAAAAGTATTAGTAGATTTTATTTTTGAAGAGGGAAGTGATCATAAATTTAGTTTGAAATTGAGGGAAGGTCAATTGAATCTTGGCGAAGACTTGGAACTCTGCATTCTTGCCTCCCTCACAGGGTTTCTCCCTTTATTTATTCCTACTTAGCTCAGTTACACCAGGTACCTGTAGTATTAACAATGAATGGTTAATATGTTTCTATTACCTACTGTTAGGTGAATCTAAAGCAGAAATACGAAAACATCCTCCAAATGTTTCATATAGATTCTGCTCCCTTCGTTTAACACTCACCTTGTTTGCGTTACCAGGTGTCTACAAGTCCAAAAATAGTACTGATTTTTTAAGGGGGGTCCATAAGTATTGAAAAAGTGCAGAAATTCCGCATGAGGTCCGGAATTTTTCCTTTTTTTGTCATTTTTGTCTCAACTTGCCTGAGAAATTCAAGTTTGTGAAATTTTTCGAATTTCGTCAAATGGTGGTACTGAAAAAGTACTGCATTTTTCTGTTGAGGAGGTACTGAATTTCTTGGGAACGTACTGAAAAAGTACTGTAAAAGTACTGAAAAAGTACTGTAAAAGTACTGATTTTTGGCCAACCTTTTTAGTAGACACCCTGGTCGCCTGCGAATCTCTGCAAAACCAATTGTTGTCTGTCAGATAGAACAATAGGCTATTCTTAGCAGCCTTGGCGACCCGTCTCTCTATTTACATATATTATTTTCTTTGTAGATTTCAGAGTACGAAGCTGTTCACCCAATGCGCAGCTGGACGGACTTGAAACGGAGGGTTGGTCCGTACAGACGTTGTTTTGTCTACACCCATTTCGCAATGCCCGATGAGCCTCTTGTTGTTCTTCACACAGCCTTGTGCAAAAATATTGTGTCTAGCACCAGTGAAATTTTCTCTTCTTCATCTAATGCAAGTAAGATTGCACTTTAAAATCTCTCCTGAAACATTTTTTGCATCAATGTTAAATGTATCTAATGAAGCTCATATTATCATCTTTGTATAAGAATTCCTGTTGTGCCTTGTCTGAGTATATTGCCTGAACCTCTTTAAGGCATTGAAAGACAAGGGAAATTAAAAAGAAACACACCAAACACTACTAACTTATTCCCACTTGTCACAGTATCTGGGGATGAATGCTGGTTTTGAAGCACCGTGTTAGAGTAAAATCAGCTGCTATTGCTTCATTACGATGTAAAGTAAATAGAGTGTTCGAATTTGGAAAATCTTTTCAGAAACCAGAAATGTTTCACAAATGCACCATACCAAAAATAGAAGTGTACAGTGAAAGTAAAATGAATAAAGTAAGGTCTGGCAGGTCCAGGTAGAAGAACAAATCAAGAAACGGAAGAGATAAACTAGTACGTACTAAGGATACAGAAGATGGAGAAAAGATGAAAAGATTCCTTACAGAATTTTTATAAGCTGAGAGTTATTTTTATAGTTTTAATGATGTCAAAGTGGCATGATCAAGTAATCTAAGGAGCCAGCATAAGCAATGTTCTCTCTACTTTGATGCAAAAGAGAAATTCGAAAGAAAGGTAACAGAGCAATAGAAATAATTACACTTGTACTTGCACAAGGCAATACTTCTAACACCTCTGATTGTCTTCTTTTTTTCATGTGTAATGTGATTGGCAGCTGCGGTTGTGACATCGTTGTCTTTTTTCAAATTCATGTGTAAGTTACAGATAACCAAATCGGTGGTTGGAATATTTTTCTTCTATCAAAATATATAAGTCTCATTTTTTCTGCTTGTCATTTCAATTGTACCCAACAATTTTGTTTGAATTTTTTCTTCACAGAGCAGCTGATAGACAGCAGAGATGAGCCCGCAGATGAGGAGAATATGGAAAACATTAATACTGCTATCTTCTATTCAATTTCTTCAACTCAGCCTGGACTGCAAGTAAGATTTCTATCTTCATTTCGTATCCTAATATTTTCAGGTCCAACCAGTTTGGTCTCATATGTTTTGGAGCCTGGAGTGTGAGGGAAAAATCCATAAACTATTGGCATAACCATGGCAATGAGGAACGTCTAATGAAAAAAATTAATGGAATTACTACAGGCTCAGTTCACTGAATTCCTGCAAATAAAGGCATTAAAAGTTAGTAAAATTGTTTGTTTTTTTGTTCAAAATTTGGTATCATTGTAATGTTGACCTAAAGTTCACTTGTTTTGCATTTTTTCACAGGGGATAGAGCTTGGAAATCATCTCATAAAAAGGGTAGTCCGTGAAGTGCAGTCAGAATTACCACAAATCTCTCAGTTTTCAACAATTTCTCCTATTCCTGGGTTCACATTGTGGCTTATGGACAGATTCAAGCAATGGGAGAGTGGTTAGTTTAATCAAAACATCTGAAAATTTTGATGGCTAACCGCGGAAAATGCATATCTTAATGATATCAACTTTTAAAAATCTTCAATTACATACAGGGTGTTTCAGACCACCCGTACCAGGCCTTTTTCTCGGTTGGTTTAGGTCGTACGAAGTCGGAGACCGCGGAGTTGAATAGGGAATTTACCCCAAGGAATCCGAATTTTGTGGTCCCGAAACCCCCCCACCCCCCCTTGGGAGGTAAAGGGGGGGTCACGATGCTAAAAGTCACGGTTCCCGACCGAATTGCGGATCGGTCGCATCAGAATTGAAAAGCACGGAAAATTTCACGTGGAATTGACCCCTAAAAATCCAAAATCGGACCATCCAAGGCCCAAAAATGATTCCCTAAAGAAGGGGACAGTACCCCCCTCCATAATTTCTCTTTGGTCTCAAAATTGACGTAAATTCTCCAGAAAAAGACGGTTTCCCAGGTAATCGACCTCGAGAAATCCAAATTTCGTGGTCCCGAAGCTCCTCCAGCTCCCCTTGGGGGGTAAACGGGGGGGGGGGCCCAATTTTAAAAGTCGGGGCTCCTTTTCGAATCGCAAATTGATTGCATCCAAATTGAGGAGCAGAACACATTTACATCTTAAGTGACTCCTAAGAGTTCTAATTGACCCCCCTGAACGGCAGAAAGTAATCCCCTGAGGAAGGGAGCCTCGCCCCCGCCTAAAATTTCTCAGGATTCCTCTTTGGTCGCAAAATTGACTTTGATTCTCCAGAAAAAGATGGTCTCCCATGTAATCGACCCCGAGGACTCTAAATTTCATGTTCCCTGAGCTCCTCGGGGTCGATTACATGGCAGACCGTCTTTTTCTGGAGAATCGAAGTCAATTTTGCGACCAAAGAGGAATCCTGAGAAATTTTAGGCGGGGGCGAGGCTCCCTTCCTCAGGGGATTACTTTCTGCCGTTCAGGGGGGTCAATTAGAACTCTTAGGAGTCACTTAAGATGTAAATGTGTTCTGCTCCTCAATTTGGATGCAATCAATTTGCGATTCGAAAAGGAGCCCCGACTTTTAAAATTGGGCCCCCCCCCCCGTTTACCCCCCAAGGGGAGCTGGAGGAGCTTCGGGACCACGAAATTTGGATTTCTCGAGGTCGATTACCTGGGAAACCGTCTTTTTCTGGAGAATTTACGTCAATTTTGAGACCAAAGAGAAATTATGGAGGGGGTACTGTCCCCCTCTTTAGGGAATCATTTTTGGGCCTTGGATGGTCCGATTTTGGATTTTTAGGGGTCAATTCCACGTGAAATTTTCCGTGCTTTTCAATTCTGATGCGATCGATCCGCAATTCGGTCGGGAACTGAGACTTTCAGCATCGTGACCCCCCCTTTACCCCCCAAGGGGGGGTGGGAGGGTTTCGGGACCACAAAATTCGGATTCCTTGGGGTAAATTCCCTATTCAACCCCGCGGCCTCCGACTTCGTACGACCTAAACCAACCGAGAAAAAGGCCTGGTACGGGTGGTCTGAAACACCCTGTATATTCTTCTTGCGACATTTAAAAATCTCCAATTATGACCAATTTTCTTCAAGAAAAACTTATAGAAATGTTTCTTTGCAATTTTTTGTCATTGTTTTTAGAATTATGGTGAAGTAAATGTATGAAAAATTTCTATAGAAACTTTCAGTAGGTTTTCCTTTGAAAAAGTAGGACTTGAGTGGAGACTTACCATGTTGCGATCCGAGATACTCATTTTTCAACTTGAGCTGTCGATATAAAGGTAGAGGAAGAGACCCTTATAATGCTACTGGTAGGGAATAGAACACTAGTTTCTCTGGGAAAGTTAAAGAAAAATATTGTGAACACAACAAAATTTGTAATTTTAAATGTTTTGGAATCTAAGAAAAAGGAATAAAATAAGTGGGGAAGACACATACAAAGAATAAAATATGAATGCGTAAAATTAGGAAAAAACTAAAAATAAAGCTAGAAAGACCGGAGAAGTCTGTACTTACGTATGTTCTTGCTGTCACAAATACATAAATGAAACAAAAAAGAAAAAAAATTTAATTTTCATTAAAACAGTGACTTCAAATAAACTTGCATTATGCGTTAATCTTATGATTTCAAATTATAGAGCAAGATAATTAAGAAAGAAAGAAAGAAAGCCAGTCAACAATAACTTCATCAGTTTTACTGGAGAAACCTGATAATTCTAACATTTTGTATGCTAATTTACAGGAGCGACATTCAACCAATTTCCTGTGGATGAGATAAAAAAATTTCTAGGACAAGATGATGAGTCTTTTTGGAGGAGGCTAAGACAGATATTTGCAAGCAATGCTTGGTACAAAGAACCAGCTTTACGTGAAATATTAGAAGAACCTCTCATGAAATTGTGTGCTCATTACCTATTCAATGAGAAGAAGAGAAGTTATGCATTGAATTCAGTAGGTAAGAGCAGGATCCTCCTTTTGTTTTGTCTTTAAGTATAGTCCTGCTGTTCTTTCAATTATGAATGCATAGCTGTGGCTAAAGTATAAAACTGCATATCTTAGATTGCGATGCTGTGAGTCTCCACTTAGTTATATTTTTTAAAAGGAAAACTAGTCAGTAGTTTTCATTGTTTTCAGTGAATTTCCTCCACTCATTCCAAAAATATCATGGTAGATTGAAAAGAAACATTTGGATTAATATTCCTTGAGAAAATAAAACATAGTCACCAATCAGAGATTTTCACACATCGCAACCGAGGTTAAGATTTTTTGCATTTTAGCCATTGATATGGAAAACTGATTTATGTCGATTCAAGGTTAAGGAAAATGTAGCTTCTGCTGATCCGGGGCCTTTGTTTGTTTGTTTGTTTGTTTTTCGCTATCAACCATTCAAACATTTTATTACTCATAAGAGCTATTGTTTTAGGAAAATTTTACATTTGCAAGGAATATTTAATTTGCTTATTCCCAAAACGCATCTGAATTTCCAATCATTAGGCATGATTTAAGCTGTATCATTGTTACCCTCCTAGTTAAAATTAATCTCTGCGAAGTGCTAAATTCAAGCCTTCAGGTTGAATATTAACATTTTAACACCCTCTAATGACTAAACCAGTATTAGATACTTCTGTATCGATTGAACAAATTTAACCAGAATCAACCTAACTGCTTTTCATGCTGCTCAATTTTTTAATTTAAATTATTTTAACAAAACGCCTTGGAACTTTGCATGAATTTTCCACAACTCACACAGAATATACTCACAAAATTCCAAGTCAGAGTCTTGCTTAGTTTTCCTGTACAAAATAAAACATGTTAAGAAGTTGGACAATTCCTGATGTAGGCAGGTTAATATTGGTCAATTCCGTCCAATTGGCATTCAATTATTATCAACACCCTGGGCTATGTCTTCTTTTTACCATTAAAATTTCTTGGCTGCATAGAATTTTGTAGCTTTCACTTAACTGGATGAAATTATTGCAGCAGATGTTTTTAGAGAAGCTAATTTTCTAGTCAAATGTTTCATACTAGTCTCAGATTTGTCTACTCTTCTTTAATAATGGTAATTGTTATGGTATCATTTTCAGCAAATTTTCACTTACGAAATGGAGCTGTAATGTGGAGAATCAACTGGTTAGCTGACGTTTCTCCCCGAGGTCTCTCCAATTCGTGTGGAATTATGGTAAATTACAGGTAAGTAATGGTTTATCTAAATAATATTGCATTTTTTTTTTACCTTTCATTTATTTTAGAATAATATTAAATCAATTCTTTTGATTTTTTTATTTGATTAAATTACATAAAATTCATTATATTAAAAAATCTTAAGGACCAATCCAAACCTAATGTTTGCCAATCCAACCTGTTTTCTTTGGCCAATTAGACGCTCTACATGGAGTGAAAGCTGACACCCCGAACTAACCAGAATGTTCTTTATGATGTGTAAAAGTTTATTTACGTTGAACAAAGCTGAGAATACCATGAAAAGCCTTACAAACTACATTTCAAGAAATTAATCTTGGTGAAAGTAACGAGGCGTGTACACTCAATGGCAACATTACTTTTTTGAGGATAAATCTTCTCTACATTTCTTAACATTACTTTGGTACGTCTTTACCCTTGTTAGTATTTCTTCACTTTTTCACCTAGGTACTTCTGACCAATCCTCGTCTCTAGAAAATTAATTAAATGAAATAGGTTTGCAAGAAAAATATTTTGAAATTGTTTTATACAAAATATTGCCAAATATTTTTGGTCTGTTAAAAGTATTCCGTTACGTCATACTTTGTGATTTTTTTTTCCAGATATTTTCTCCCTGAAGTTGAGGCAAACAGTGATAATTATCTGAAAAATCAAGTAATTGCAGCTTCTGAGTCAGTGCAAAAATTGGCTTCTGATAGACTGTTAACTGCTAAGTTGTGATGGAATGGGTAAAATAGTTGTTATCTTTTCAGTTCATCGTTTGCATGACATCCTTCCTGTTATGCTCTCTGCACTTTTAGTGGTTTCATGACTACGTGGCACCAAACACTTAAAGAGGCTGTGTTATCATTGGCCATCATGATACGTCATTGTGAAGTGTCAGCAGAAGCAATTTTAACTTATTGCACCGTCAACCTTCTCCACATCGGAGTCAATATAAGGGGGACCCCAGAAAAAACCGGAATTTTTCCAGAACTTGGCAATGGTTAAATATTTCCGGATTCCACTGATAGGAAGTGTAACCAGGAGCTATGAAGGGGTGTTGGGCTACATCACAAACGTTGTAGCACATTTTCTTCCGTTTTTTTGAGACTTAATTTATTGGTGAAGCATATTCCCTGAAATATTAATTCATAAGTTTGACAGAATTAGCCGTGTCATGCCTGTGAAAATCACTTATCTTAAAAAACGACAGGCTCGCTGAACACTGCTCACACGAAGACTCGCCAAAATGAAAGAAAATGAGCTATGATGTTGCAATTTGGCCGAACAACTCTTCATAGCTCCTAATTACAAATCCTTGTGGTGGAACCAGGAAACTTTCAACTGTTGACAAGTTACAACAACATTCGGATTTTTTGGGTCCCCCCCTCATATGTTACATATTTTCTCTGCCTATGTAGGCATTATTTATTTGTTAAAGGCTGTGATTGTGATTTAAAAATTGGATCAATGTTAATTAGAAATTTTATTCAATTTTTCATGACTATTGAGTTATTTCCATTTGGAAATTTTTGTCTTTCATAAACCAAAAATACTATTTTTTTTCTTACTTTTTCATGTTTCAATAAATATTATCATTTAATGATAATGAAGTCTTGCGTGTAGTCTGTTCTGTGAGAGGATTCTATTTGTTTTCCTCCACATCCATTTTCAAAAGCCTATTTTCTTTATTGTTTCATGTTTTAATAAATATTATCATTTAATGATAATGAAGTATTGCGTATAATCTGTTCTATCAGAGGATTCCATTTTTTTTTTCTGCATCCATTTTCGAGAGCCTATTTTTTTTATTTTTTCATGTTTTAATAAATATTATCATTTAATGATAATGAAGTATTGCGTATAATCTGTTCTGTCAGAGGCTTTTATTTGTTTTCTTCCGTATCCTTTTTCAAGAGCTTAGTGCTCAACAGAGATTGTGTGAGCTGATCGAAGAGATCAAAATATTCAATAAACCTTTGAAAGCTTGACAAACTGGGCAAACCATATAAATCGGCTGCACTTAAAAAAAAAAAAAAGAAAGGGGGGAGTGAGAGCAAGATAGAGAGAATCTGTTTTTTGCTTCAGCATGCACACTTTAAACACTTATCGAAGATGCTAAATAGGTGAGTCATTGAAGCCTAAAATATACCCAGGTAGAAAAGATGGAAAAAGTGTACCTAAGGTTGCATATTTTTTTCTTTTTCTGATTTTTAAAAAACTTAATAACTTCCGCCGTGCTTTTACCTTCATCACATTTCCCCAAAAAAGTGAAAGTGTTTGCACTTAAAAGCGCGATCGCAATAATGTTCACCAAAATTTAAACATGCTTAAAATATTTCTAAAAAACCATGCCTTTTCAATGTTTCTATTTATTAGTACCATTTAAAAAAAAACGTAAATGAAAAAATAGGTTTTTTTGTCTTTCTCCATTTTAAAGAAAAATAAGCTACACAGAATTTCAAAATGAGAAAATGCAAATTCCGCGAGTTATAGAATACCTAATCGTGCCCAACACAGTGCGGTCGCCGTATAGCGTATGATAGCGCCTACTACTGAGGGTAATACTTCACGCATTGCGCACGGTGCGACGTCCAATGAGCGGCTTGCAAACTTGCGCAAGATTTAGATTGCATAGCTATGCAACGAGTGGAGCAAACCGATGGTGAAACTGCAGAAATAAGTATCTCTGTTTGCGACGTTGCAAACTTCCTGTCATTTATTTTCTACATGGGAAACTGCTGAACGTAATTTTTTGAAAATTTCAGTAATTTTTCTTCTATTTATGTGCAATATTCTGCTGTGAAAACTCCAAGCCATGATGTTGGTTCTGTCTCCTTTTAAAAAATAAAATAGGAACGGAGATTTTGAAACACCGCGACAGAGATACACATTTTTCCTATTCCACCGTCGGAACCTGGTTTGGTTTGATTGGCCTGCTTTCGAGTTGTAATTCAAGTTTCCCGTTACAAAGTACCACCTTGTATGCAATTCTACAGCCGCATATCGTAGGATCAGGACTCAACACAATGATAAACGATACTAGTAAATTTGCGTACTTTAAAGCGCCTTCAACCTTGTTTGATACTGTGCAATACTTCCGAGGTGGAATAGTTGCTCAGAGCGCCTTTGACAGTGTCGCCTCGACTGGATGGCAGACCGTAAAAGATACTGCTGAAATCACGCAGAAGCGCACATTTTCTCATCGCCGACGTTCACATAAAAGACGTCCATAACTCAATTTGCGACGTTTCAAATTGTCAATGTCTACTTTACGCGGGCGAATCAATGTGAACAATTAAAAATCTGCCGTGACTTTTCCCAGGTATGGTGACAAACTTTATAGTTTCAGGTTGAGGTATTCGTTAGCTTTTATATTAAAGAGGGAAAAATAAGTAAGTATGCGTAGGAACCTTTGGATGAATAAAAGCGAACCGAAAGTTAAAGTAGGTACCAAAGTAAACGGGCCAGAAGAACTGAAAAAGCGTCGAAACAAACTGACTGACAATCAGTATTATTATCAGCTCCCTTTTGCGTTATTATTGCTTTTACGTTGTAATGATCATATGAACTTTGATTAAAATACTCTGGATGATCAAATGAGGAAATAAAGAAAAGGAACAAAATTAAATAAGTGAGTAGAAAATAAACACGCTGTTTCTACACAAAATAATTTAAAAGCGTGCCGATATTAAATAGCCGATAAAATAGCTGAGAGGACAAACTGAACAGAAAGGAACTGAACTGAATATCTCAATTGCAAAAGTGGATGATTTCGAAGGCGCCAAAATAGCATTTTACGTCTCTTTTGCCTCTCGGATTTTTGAATTTTGAAAATTTGACATTTACGTCTAAGAATAGCCCCTGCCACCAAGTTTCACAAGCACTTTTATCCACATCCACTGTCGTGGATTTTTGAATTTTGAAAATTTGAGTCAACTTTTCAGTCAGAAAGTGCCACCTTGTATCAAATTTCACAATCTAGCAAACACGAGCTGTATAGCATGGGGTCAGTAAGACGACACCGTGGTGAACGATACGAGTCATTTCAGTTTGCGTACTTTAAAGCGCCTTCAATTACGTTTGATACTGTGCAATACTTCTAAGGCGGAATAGTTGCTCAGAGCGCCTTAGACAGTGTCGCCTGGCAGCAGATCACGATTTCCTCTGAAATCGCATTCTAGCGCGTGCGCGGTTGCACAATGTCTCATCAACAAAGTTGAAATAAAAACATTCATACCTCAATTTGCAATGTTGCAAGTTTTTCCATGCATGTATTAAATAAAATAGGCACTGGACTAGAGTATATAGCTTTGAATTGATGGCAGAAGATCAGACTCTAGCACGTGCATCTTGAACAATTCTCCACATTCCTTTTCAGCGCACTTTTTCAATGGTTCAATCAAGTATCAATCAGTGGCCGGAAATTTTAGAGAAAGCACTTCATTGCAAAGGATGAGATTTAGTCGCCCAAAAATGTCGAATTACTTGTTGTTGTATTAGAATTTTAGTGCAATCATGGCCAGATTTAACTGCCGCCTCTTGGCCGTTAAGATTTTGTCGCCCCCACGACTTGTCGCGTCCTAGCGGGGAGGGGGGGGGCATGCAGTTTGTAAATTCCGCACACAATATTTGTTTACGCAGAGTTTTAGACTTTTCCATTACAAAGTTTTCAGTGTATCAGTCATCATCTTGTGCACCTATAAAAATTGCCACGTTTGTGGCGCCGCCCTGTAAATTCGTTTTAACCCTCCCCCCCTCCTCCTCCCCCAGCTGTGAATAAATCCGGCCATGAGTGCGGAGGGTCTTGTCCAATCTCCGCTCCTATTTTAATTTTTTGAAAAATGACAAATCTAAGAATATCATTTCTTGCGGAATTTTTACAGAGTTTTTTCGCTCAGAGGAGAAAAAACCCGGAAGTTTTCAAGAATTTTCGTTGGGTAGTTTTCCGTTTAAAAAATCAAGTATGGCAGATATACGTGATCGTAAAAAAAGTCACCTGAAGTTTCACCGTCGAAATAAGATTTTTTAACCAAACAAACAGATCAACGACGACTGAATGTGTGATGCACAGCTGAAGTAGAGTCCCTTTATACCCAGAGTTACGACAACTCACTTTTGGTTGGGCCAGGATTGGGCTGAAAGTGGCCTAAAAAAAAATCCAATTCTGATTGGTTCTCGCTCATGGAGGCCGAAACTAGTGCACCAAGATGGCGGTACCTCGTATGTGAACAAGAATAATGAAAATATTACCTAATTGTGGTTTATCAAGAGTAAATTGTTATTGCCATCGGTCCAAAATGAAAATAGATTAAGAAATTATTCACAAACCAATCTCATTTTCTTTTTAATTGATCACTTTGTTTATGTTGTTGTTTCTGTGTGACAGACATCGCAGGATTCCTGATCCTTATCCCCCAATATCGTTCGTTTGAGTGCACTAGTTTCGGCCTCCATGGCCAGCCAAGGTCGGCTGCCAGTCAGCTGATAATCGAGTTGTCGTTACTCTGGGTATAAAGGGACTCTAAGCTGAAGTAGTCGCATCAGGTATGCGCACCCCTTTTTCATGGGCTTTTAAAAGTAAGATTTATTTTTTAAAAAAAATGCAGTAATTTTCATTGGTGATCTGTGGCCGGAGAATGTTGAGAATCGCCGAAAAGGAAACAAAATTGCCCGTTCTCATTTATAATGTATTTACGGTTCGTTTCATAAAATGCCGCCATTGGTGAACGAGTTTTGAAAGGTGATTGGTCGATGAAGCTCTGCTCTTTGCGACATCAGCGTTCCTAGCGGATACCAATCGTGTTTGGCAATTTTACAGAGATATTTGGCAATGCTGATAGAGGGCAAATTAAAATTAAAAATAGAATATTTTTTTGGTTATGTTGTTTTTTCGACATCGACAATCGACATACATATGTGCTGTCCACTCTAGTGTTTTGCGTTAATTCGAGCCGTAAAATGTTACCGAGACGCAAATGCAGTTTCCTGTGAGATGTCGTGCTTAATGAATCATGATTGATATGATCAATCGGTCTTAGTCCCCAAGTTTGCCAGTTTGTGAAGTCAGTATGTAACTTTTCAAGTGGCTAGCCCACCTTTCATCATGACGAGATTGTGTATACAACATAATTTCTCCTATAAATCAACGTGTACAGATTCTTAATTATTGCCTCTAGCCTAGTTCATCAAAATTTTAGTATTTTGACATGCACATCCTCCAAATCACCATTTGCTCTAACGCTCAAAGTAATCACATCTTTACCATTCCAAAGTGTGCCCATTATGGCTTGTGTGCTTGATTTTCTCACTGTTTGCTGAGTAATCTCTTCCAAAATGTCTTGTTTTCCTCCAAACAATGTCAAGTACAAATGGCAAGATCATTTGAAGAGTATATGGGCTCATGAGAAGCTGGAAAACGCCGCAACGCGAGATGGCGTCCAGCTTTTGTATGACAGACTCCTAGAAAATAGGGTAAGTAAATCCCCTCATTTTTGAACATACATCACAACTCAAACTTACTAAGTTTGTATCCTACTTTTATCCTGATATGTGATGAATGTAGGAAAACTTTCAACTCCGAGATCACCTTACCTTAACCTCTACCAAATTATAGAAGGAACAAAGTTGAACGAGTTAAGAAGCACAACAATAAAAGATACCTCAACATCTTGTAAGGACTGTGCTCATACTTTCAAATTTACTTATTTACTGTTTATGGAGGTTATTAGGGTATGTCATCAATTTTTGTACATATTTTTTCATCTACTCACAAGGTTTCACCGGGGCCGTAAAAGTGTTACTCAGAGTCCTCTGTCCAGTGACTAGATTGGGCATAAGAGAAAAGTTATGACTGCATGAGTTGGATACAGTTCAGTAGTAACTCAAGTCTCATATTTTCTTTTGCAATATGAGGTTTATTAAATCATAATATAAGTTAATACCCAAAGAAGGAGGTAAGTACACTAGATCCTCCTGAACAATATAGTTCTACATTTTTCCTCACCAAGTTACTCCCATCTGATGGTGACCAGAAAAAGAACTTCATATTGTGTGTCTAAAGTATATTTGCATATAATGAAGCACAAATTTAATATATTTTCTTTTTGTCATATAGCGGCATTTACAAGATTGGAAGTATGTGGTACGAAGAAGGTACTTGAATCTGTTTTGTTTGATGTTGTTTCAATGTTTTGTTGACCTCTTCATTGCAGGTACCTAACAGTTCCTATTTTGTTTTCAGGAACTAACCATTGCTCAGCCATCGTCCTCTCTAACCGTGCAGAACCCATGCCCCTCTTACTTGACTGATTACTTCCTAGATGTTGATCTAGAACAGCACCTTATAAACCTGCTACAAAATCAGTTGAAGCTTGCCAACAATTTTATTTCGGAATCTTCCTATTTTATCATTTTACGACAGCGTCTCACTGTAATTGAGAGGATAATTCATGCGTTTGTCAGCAAATACCATATCAAAGAAAAGGTAAGTTAACATATTAAACGCTCAAAGACCTCGAGGTAAGAAAGAGTGCCTATAGGAGATGGATTAAAATTGAATCGGGACGTGCGAAAACCGCTAATGTCAATTTTTCCAGTGTTAAGTTTTTTTGTGTTCTTAATATTTTTTGGAGATGGTTGCAACCCTTAAAGTGGCGTTAAAACTCGTCTTTGGCTTTCCTTAGTCCCAAAATGAGTCCTTTCATCACTTCTATGGTTGTATCAACTCTTTAAAAGTATTATGAACTCAATAAAACTTAGAGCTGAAAAAATGAACATCAGCAGTTTTTGCACATTCCGATTCATTCAGGGCCTTGATGCAAGTGGAATTATGCATCCCAGACTAACATCATCCACTTTGAAGGTATGGTATTGCTTGATTGCAATTATAGGTATGACCATTAAATACAGTAATACCATTGAAGAAATACGTACGGTCAGTTTGGTCTGGTAAGATATCCTCGACATCTGTTAGGGCAAGCCAGACACGTTTCAGGCGTGGGGTCTGTTACTTTGTATCAAGGTGTCTCGTGGCTTGCTTTGTCAGCCTTCATCTCACGATGTTTTCGCTAGTCTTTTCTTTCTATGAACTACATTGTCCTCACTGCTAAAGACTTAACGATGACTCAAGAAATAGAAAAATCAACCAAACAAGAAGTCACTAGAGGCACCAGTAAGTACTGTAATCAAGCTGCTCTTTTTCATCAGGGCATCTGCTTTTTCAGAAAGTTTTTAAAAGAAGTGAGATATTTTGATGATAGATTTGAAAGTCATGAGATTTGCTGCTAAGATTCCAGGACATAACACCCTAGCAAAGTAAGTAGTAGGTTACGCTGCAGTCATTGTGGAAAACCTAACTCATGATTCAAAGGGCCATGAACTTGCACTTGAGTTGCCTAGTTAAATAGACGGCTCCAAAAAGAGCTTAGGTCAAAACTTATCAACTAATCCCCCCCCCCCTCCCCCCCCACACACACACACACTTTTTTGTCAGCCAGACAGAAAAGTGCGTTGATACTTGAAATTTTTAATTTATCAAATAAAAGTGTTTGTTTTATAGTCAAAATTGCGACTAAATTTGCCTGAAACAACTTTCTGCACCCCTGAATTACTGTATTCTTAATACTAAAATTATATGTCCCTCAAGCACTGTTTATACTGATAGTAAAAATTGTATTGGATCCTTGCTCCTCAGAAATGATCCAGAGTTCTTTTTTAATTTCTAATTCTAATTTAAGATTCTTCCTGGCTTTGCTTGCCCTGCATAGCACTATTTTTCTGGACTGTATTCTTATCTAAGTATACTTTAGATTATACTCATTTTGAAGGGCACTGTACTTAAGTACTTATTTTTTCATTTTTACAGGTAAAATTAGCCACGACCACTTCTGATCTAGCCGCAGATCATGCAGAGAATGGGGAAGGTTCTGAGCGAGCAATCAATGGTTCACAAGCCCTCTTGAAAATGGGAGTCAAAACTGGCCTTACTCTTCTTTTTGCTCTTTTAAAGCAGAGTTGGGAGCGGGATTCCCCATCAAGTAAGTCAAATTTGATTTTTCTGCATTCAGATCTTTTGTGCTTCATAGAACATTTTTCTTTCATAATGACAGAATCAGGTTTATGTTGAATTTTAATGCATGTTTCCGAAATCACCAGAATTTTGTCAGAGGTTAAACTGCAGCGAAAGCTGAAAGAACTGGGTCTCAGTTGAACTAAAATTTTTAACGTCCATCATTACAAGCAACAATCACTTAATGCAACTCGAGATTGAGTACTTGTGACTCAACGTTTGCTTTCAACAGATGTACATAGAAGTTTGTTCAATTGTAAATACCTTAATATAAGTACAGTCATCACTGTCCAAAATTTGTCGTTTTTTAGGTGCGTTTTGAGCTATTGCTGCTCGGTAACAGGAAGATTTGCCTTTCATCTCCTCTCTTGTTTTTCTAGATGATACGAGTTTAACACAGCAAGTGTTGGTATCTGCACTCTGTGTTGTGCAAGGGCTCCCTCCTCTATCCCTCGCAAACGAGACTCAAATATCAGGTTTAGGTGTCGAAAGTTTAAATGAAATCAGCCACTTCCTTCAACAGACAGCCTCCTTGAGCTCAGGCGCAGGAAAAGAAGGTACATATTACTTTATTGACTCAACTCTCTGTTTAATTAACATGTTGCCCGCCATGCCGGTCGTATCAACTGGCATTGAAGGGTTCTGCAAACGCCATGCTGGTTGTTTTGACTGGGATGCCACTCTGGGATTTGCTCACTTTGCTTGGCTCTCATGAGGCCAGCGGTCGTTGAAGCCCTGTAGAAAACTTGTCCATGAAAATAAGCCTGTGATTTACAGCTGGCTCCAAGAGGAAAAGAAACCAATTGTTTACACAAACCACAATGTTTACCAGATTGTTTGGAAAGACACCTTACTCATGAAGAAAATCAAGATCTCTCTTCAAAAAGAACCAAAAATTGTTGATTTGGACCCAGGATACAGGGAGAAAACTGTGCAAATCACTGTAAAAGTCTTAAAAAGTTCTTGAAAATTCTTCAGAAAGTGTTCGAAAATATTGGATTTGATTATTTATTCTTGAGGCTGCGCAAACCAAGTATTTGTGATGTATATAGCAGAAGATTTAGGAAACTTTTGCCGCCATTGAGCCGTGCAAATCTTCTCTTGTGCTTTTCCATTTTATTTTTAACATTGTACTTCTTCTTACCTTATTAATGACTAGGAAGTCCGCTTTCCAAAATACTTTTTAATTTTCCAAAATTGACTTGTTCGCAATTCAATCTCTTAAAAATTCATTTCTATTCTGAATTTTCTTTTTTTAGTTCAACGATTGGCAGCAGAGCTGAGTTTAGGAATAGCGATTCAAAGAGGCTCTCTTCGATATTTGTTGGAATGGATTCAGATGGCGATGAAAAATGAAGAAGGTGTCATTTCTGCTGAATCTTTCACGCAGATGGTCAGCCAAATGAGAATCAGCATCAACGAAGAATCTTGTCAATTTGAGGAGAATTTATCAACCACTGAACTGATATCATTGTACGATGCCGCCATTATTCTTATGAAGGATGTAAGTTTTCTTCAATTTGCTCTACTACTCTATCTGAAGTCACCTTAAAGAAATTTTTCACATCAATCTATCACCAAGACTTTCTCAATTTTAAGTAAATCTCTTGAAAAAGTATCCTCCGCAAAAACACTCGATGAGGGAAGTTCACAGCCTTTTTCTTTTGCATTTTTCCTTTGTGCATTCTAACAAAGGAAAATAGAATAGAAGTCATAACATATACTGTTCAGTTGTCGAATTCTGGGTGTGTACAGGTCTGCTCTGATAAAATGGAAATTGTCTGGGAAATCAGGGAAAAATCAAAGAATTTTTATGAAAAAGATTGGAAATTTCCTGTTGTGTGTTCTCCACAAGTTCTGTGCATTTTTTATTTTCTAAACATGCTTGCAAAATAGCTCTGTGATGCACCAAGAAAGAATTAAAATGATTTAAAGTTAATCGAATGATCTATACGTGAAGAAAAAATGTTCAAATATTTCTGTCCAAAAATGGTTCATTTCATGTGCTACGTGTGCAAATTGTTGATGTGAAAAATCAAGCATTTTGATCATTTTGCTAAGAAAAAACATGAAAAAAACAGGGAATTTTTTCCCCTAGTCTCTAAACACCCTATGATTGCAACTTTTATTTGTTCTTATCTGTAGGTATGTGTTTTTAAAGTAAATCGTAATTAGCAAGATTTTTTTGGGGCCTAAGTCTTTTACAGTTCCATTAAATTTGAATCTTTTCATTTTACTCAAATGTGTAATTCCCTTTGTTTATAGCTGGTCAATTCTGCATGTGAATACACTCATTCATGGCTTGGAAGAAATATGGTTCCGTACGGTTGTGGTCTGCCGTCAGATGAGCAAGCTCCGTCCGTTTTGCAAGATAAATGTCAGGTGTATGTATGGGGTAGCAATTCATCTCATCAGCTCACTGAGGATGTTCAGGAAAAATTATTAGTGCCAAAATTAGCGCTCTCTCTCACGAATGTGCAACAAGTAAGTTACGTTTGTTTTATTCCATCAGTATCAGTTCGAATTTTTATCCAATGAAAATTATGTGATAAAGAAGACATGAGTGCAAATTGTCTACCTCCATCAACCCATGAAAAAATTATAGAGGCGTCTCTAAAAGTGTAGGATTGAGTTGTTTTTCTGAAGTTAGAAAAATCACTTGAAAAAAAAAGCAAATCCCTGGCACATGCAAGAGCTTCATTGTACAAGGAAAGTGTTAGAAAAAAATCCTTCAAGAGGAAACAAAGAAAGAAATATAGAAAAAATAAGATGTACCTAATTGTGCGCTTCAAACTATGAAGAGATAGATGATCTAGATAATTCTAAAAAAAAACATTCATTTATCAAAAGGAGTGAATTTTAGATTTGTTTTGCTGATTTTATTTTTTTATGATAAGTCGAGCATCATATCAGTTGCATTGAAATGATAGATCGGAAGGAATAAAAGTGAGTAGCAAAATGGAATCATTTGTGACAAGTTATCAGTCACAAATGGGTCAAAGGTTAGAGAGCTCTGACGAATTTCCGCATTTATAGAATATTTTTCCTCGTATTTTTTTTCAAAATTTATCTACCCTCAGCAAACATGAATGGCCTCAAATCACAAAATGTTTTTCAATAAGATGAGTTGAACAATGTTTTCATCATAAATGCTCGGCAGAATTTTTTCATTTCCTAGGGATTTATGATGTGTCTAGAATGTGCTTATCGAAGTATCAAGAGTTATTTTAGAAGAGGTTGAAGTACTTGGATGCTGTAGAATATTTTAAAATTTCCTCCCAAACAGCCTATTCTCCAACCAAATCTAGACTTTTGTTTTTTCCCCCCAATAAATATTTTTAGAAATTGATGCAAGCTTGAAATGGTACCTATTAAGTTTTACATATATCAAGGAAGGAACAGTGAAAAAGTGTTTTAAAAAATTACTACTATGAGCTTAACTGGGAGGAACTGAGTATCTTGCTATGATCTCATATCATTCAACTTCTATATTGTACGAGATCTTGCAACTTTCCATTTTCGTATTTAATGCCTTTTATTAAGTGAAGAAGAATTATTATTTAATATTTAGTAATGGTGAAGTCAAAGATGGAATCATAATAACCGCAACATCTCTTTTTGACAAGAGTGTCTCTTTAATGCTCTTGTGATTTTATTTCTTGAAGCTTTTAACTGCATTCATGAGTTCCTAAATCAATTTTCTTACATTTTCTTTCCTTGAGTTATGACTAAAAATTTCTTTGTCCCTCGCTAGGTTGAAGCTGGTCAATACTGCACTTTTTTCATTCATACAAATGGAACTGTTAGCGCTTGTGGGAAAGGTAGTTATGGACGCCTGGGTCTTGGAGATTCGAGCAATCAGCAGACCCCCAAAAAGCTGCCTATAGAGGCTAGAATAAAGAAAGTTTCCACATCGAAAGGAAGTGATGGCCATTCTTTAGCACTATCAGAAGATGGTCAAGTTTACAGCTGGGGAGATGGTAAGAGTAACTTCGGTCTGAGTTTTCAAATTCATCAATCGATGAATCTTAATAAAACTTTTATCGAATGATGACAATTAAAAATTTCTGTTCGCATTTCAAAAAATTCAACTATAAGTATAAAAATGGTCCTAAAATATCAGTAAAGCCAACACTAACAATAAGTACAGATTATTTTTAGAAATGAGTCTTGTTTTGTTTTTGGTACGTGTTTGTGTGCGCTTGGGCAGGTGTACTTGCTCGAAAATAATACGGGTAGTCAGCTTTGTTTTTAAGCAAATTAAAAAGATGAATGGAATTAGGGATACTTATGAAAACATTTGCAAAAAAAGAAACGTTATGTAGTGTGTTAAAACATGACTTGAAAATTGGAATAAAAAGGTGAGGCATAACACATCCTACCGCAATAGCTGTCTTTAGTCATCATATATCGAAGATTACTTTTTTTCTCACTTAAAATGTATCTTTGCCTTTCAAAAATCAATTGAGTTTTGTTTTTACCTTTTCAGGTGATTATGGAAAATTAGGACATGGTGGGACATCAACTCAGAAACAACCTAAACTCATCACAGGAGTCTTGAGTGGAAAAAAAGTAGTTTGCATTCATGTCGGTTACAGGCATAGCGCAGCTGTTACTAGCACAGGGGAGTTGTACACATGGGGTGAAGGTGAACATGGGAGATTAGGCCTAGGAGATTCAAACAGTCGCCCTGTTCCCACTTTGGTTCATGATATTGGTGGTGTCGGATCCGTTGCATGTGGCTCTGCTCATACTCTCGCTCTCTCCATCGATGGGAAAACCCTTTGGTCCTTTGGCTCTGGTGACTACGGTAAATTAGGCCATGGGGACTCTGCCAAAATATACCGACCTAAAGTGATCGAAGCCCTTCAAGGAATGTACATTCGAAAAATTTGTGCTGGCAGTCAGTTCTCCATGGCACTCACCTCAAATGGCCAAGTTTTGGTTTGGGGTGGTGGACCATGTCTTGGGTCAGGTGCGGCAGACACAGTTTTTTCCGCTCCAAAATTACTTGATGACCTGTCTAACACTCGGATTGTTGACATATCTGCTGGAGATTCTCATTGCTTGGCACTTTCACACAACTGTGATGTATATGCATGGGGCAACAATTCGATGGGTCAATGTGGCCAGGGTCACTCAACAAGTCCAGTTGTAAGACCGCGAAAAGTGATTGGCTTGGACGGAGTCAGAACTCATCAGATTTCTGCTGGAACAAATCATAGCATAGTTTGGACTGCATTACCAACGGAGCGACAAGTCATAACATGGCATCGACCATTCTGTGTGGACCTTGAAGAGCCCATGTTCTTCCTGATTAGAAATTTCCTCCAGAAATTCTGCTGCGAAGAAAAGAACAGCGATACGTTAACACTAAGCCGAAAACACGAAGAGTTTGTGATTCTCTGTCTAAGACTTTTGTCTGCTCATTTGTCTCTTGCCTATGGTGACTCTGCGTCTTCGTCTGTTCTGGGGTCGGAAGCTGCACCATTGCGTCACTTGTTGTTCAAATTAGTCGATCTCCCTTTGCCTGCATGTGTTGAGACTGCTGTTACGGAGTGCCTGGCAGTTGGAGCTCCCCTGTTGCTGCCACCATTGCGTGAACGCTTAGAACTCTTACAGTCTCTCCTTCCGCAAAACTTAAATTTAATCAAAGGACAGCAAATGCTCCTAAGTATCATTGTCTCTAGTCTCAAAGAACACTCACATATTGCAACAATTTTGGGATATGCTTCGACCAGCCCATTGTCTGACTCTGATATGCAATTGATTCAAAATCTAATTGACACACTTATCAAGAATCTTAGTTACCAAACTTTGCAACTCATCGAGGATGAGAGTCTAAAGTCAGACGAAAACCAAGCTGTTACCCTGCCGAAGTGTTCCCAACACCTGTATGATCTAATGTGTTCAATCAACATGCACATCTTAGCCGATTGTATAGCAAATTTTAGTTCAAATTCGCAAAGTTTATTACTCTTACGTCACCATATATCAATCCTGTTTCCCTCCATAGTGGAGGTCTTGAATAAAGCTGTGTCTGTGATTTCCAAATATCCACGGTTGTCATGTGTTCTTCACAGTATTATCTTAAATTCAATTGCTGGGTCCATGCTATCAACCATTGTACATAGTTTATTGATAATGCCGATTTCTTCAATTCAGATATTTTTACCAAACCTACTTGAGATTTTGCCTGTGTATGATCAGTTGAACAGAGTTTTACCTTCAAATTCGGACAATTCTTCAGAAACTGCTCCAACCGATGAAAGCACCTCAGTAGATGATTCGTGGACTTGGGCTGTTGATCTAGAGCGATCTCTTGCACTTCTAATTGGGCGGTGTCTGAATCACTTGCTTAGTGGACAGCCACTGACATATGCGGAGGAAGCTACTTATCGATGGCTAAATAATACAATGTTATTTAGTAATGGTTTAGTGGAGCTAGATGAATCAGTCGACATCACAAGAAATTCTGAAAATTTTAGTTTCTCGCTTTGTTATTTAATTCAAAATAAAGATAAAGCCAAGCAAGAGTCAGAAGTCCTAATGAAATTGCTGTCTGTCTGCGACTCTCCTTTTATTGAAGCTGTTAAATCAATCATCTTTTCACATAGCACCAAACATGACCTCTCTGCCTCAAGTTTTAATTATTTACACGAGTCAATCGTCAGCAACCTAGTCGAATATGCAGTAAAAAATGACTACGATTACAATACAGACAACAATCTTCTAGATTTAATTTCAAAACTAGTCGTTTTGGTCCTGATGAAAATTAATGATCTCACAGATTTGGACCGTGTTCCCAGTGGAATGAATGATGAAATCTTTCAAGCTGTCTTCAAATTGCGAGGCAAGTTACTGTCTTCCAGTACAGAATTAGAAGTTGTCTCTCATGAGCCGGAAGAGCCAGACAGCGATCGAGAAGACCCTCACGATGAAGTAAATCTACACCAAGGTGTTATCGAACCACCTCCGATTGAATCATCAACATATACTTTCTTTGCTGAGAAACAGTTCGTAGACCGTTGCAGTACAATTTTAGAACGATGCTACTTTTTTATCGTAGCTATTCAACCACTAGCAAGAAAAACTCACAATCAAGAGACCTGTCGAACTCTGTGTAATACTTGTATTAGTTTCTTGCTAGACGAGCCCTATGATGATATAGCATTAACTCCATGGAGCGAAGTATCAAAGGGGTGGAGTACCAAAATTGGCAATGTAGTCGCAGGATTAAAAGAGCAGTGCTCACGGGCAAAAGTTAGACTGTCAGCTTTGAAACAGATTTACTCCTTGCTCCAAGAACCAAGTGAAGTTAAAGATGCTAACGGAGAAAACTTAAAACTACTTAATTGTGTGTACGAACAGTATCTATGCGGCTGTTTTGGATTCACGAGTGACTCTTCATCGTGTATTACACATTTACACCATTATTATCATTCTATCAAAACTGCACCAACAGTAATTAAGAAAGAAATTCGGTTGGTTGTCCATGAAATATACTCTCTTCTTGTCAAATCCTTGGAGGCCGGCATGCAGTATTTGATGTTCTATTCGCTGGACGATTCTAAAGAAGTGCAATTGCAGGTGCTAACTGTTTTTGCTTTAAGCATGCACTACTCGGCGGAAGATGTTGTTCATGCAGTTAAGTGTGGTATTTTGCCTCTAATCCTAGAACTTTCAAATTATGTCTTTTGCCTGGATCACCAGTCTGTGCTCGTGCAAAGCTCATCTCAACTTTTGCGAATCATTTCTACAGCTTGTAGTATGTTTGCTGATGAATTGGACACAACAACCAAGAAGAAGATTGTTGAACACTTTGAAACTCTCCTTGCGTTGACTTCTCCTGAATTGATCAGTGAAGAGGATTGTCAGCCCTACAAGGATGAAAACTTTGCCCTTCCGTGTAGTAACTCAGGCCTCTTGATTGGATTATGCAGCAATTTCTATCCAGCCAACGTAGATGAGAAAAATTTAGGAGAGTTCCTCTCTTTCTTGAAGAAAATTCTGAAGAACAAATCAATGCTTACATTTTTTGCAACTCCGAAGTGGATCCATGGGCTTGTGAATATATTAAGCATGTCACCTTTCAATCTACCGAAGGTTGAGGCTCTGCGACCCAAGCTTTTGGCAATAGACCTCTTGTCTATCATATTACCTTTTTCTGGGGAGGACTTTTGCCGTGAGAAAATCATAGACAAACTTCTAACTGAACTGTCTGCTAACTTGTGGATCATACCTGAGAGCGTCTCTTCTCAGACAGCATTGAAACGTGAAATGGAGCTTGATAAGGAGCTAGAAAAATTGTCCTCACCCAATGGGCTCTTAACTTTTAACGAAGATAATATTCCTATTTTAGACATAGCTTTTGATGCAGATAAGTGCCTAAGTTGCAATGTTGAATCAAATCAAACACTTGTCCACTGCACAGGAGGTAGAGGCTATGGATTAACCAATGTTTCCTTTTCGTCAGGATGCTATTCCTGGAAGTTTCTAATTGTTAAAGAGCACAAAGGCAATGAGGGGACTTGTGTAGGTATATCAAAATGGCCAGTAAAAGACTTCAATCATCGTACAACAACTGATATGTGGTTGTACCGTGCGTACAGTGGACATCTTTATCACGGTGGAGAGTTGGCTTTTACCCTGCCAAGCTTTACTCAAGGAGATTACATTGTTGCTGTGCTGGACATGGATGCCAAAACTCTTAGCTTTGGGAAAAATGGTGCGGAGCCAATTTTAGCCTTTGTAGATATCGACACAACAGCTGAACTTCATCCATGCGTCATTTTCTATTCAACAAATCCTGGTGAAAAGGTAAGCTACATGGTTTACTTACCCTTTCTGAAAGAAAAAATTAGTAACTCATAGAAGTCAATAAAAAAAAAAAATAAAGAAATATGTACTTCTCATTTAATAAGGTCATAATTTTGCTATGATCATTATACAACTGAAAAAATTTATTTTATTGACAAAGCTAAAGTAACTATAATTTTCGTTTTTATTTTGACACATTTTGAAATCTAGCAGTAAAACAAAATTTCGTAAATTTTTCCATGTATCTTCTTGAGTTGACGAAAAGCATTAGAATGTTGCACGTACATGTGACCAACAAGTAACTACTTTTCTCGGCTGCACACTTGCCCAGTCCATATCCTTCTAGTTTCTTTGCACTTAATTTCAAACTCTATTTAATTTTTGAAATCTGACATTTTTTCTTCCACAGGTGAAACTCACGGATATGCAAGTAAGAGGCTCACCATTGGAACTATCAGCCGGAGATCCCCAGTGTGCGCCAACCCCAGTTCTCATGGTGGAAGCGTACATATCTCTCATTCGCTCCCTGCATGAATGCGACTCCTGGACCCAGTGCATTAACAACAGTCTTGTAGAGCGTTTAAATAAAGTGAAAGAGACTCTGGCTGAAGAAAAATTGGACAGAGGCGTAAGGACAGAACCTGATGTATCTGAACTTGAGGGAGAAAAGAGCGAAAAGCAGAGGGACATCAACTTATCAAAGTTATGTAAAGATGTCTGGCCTGCACTGGCTGTGATCGGAGATGTTGACAGAGGTCTCAGAGTCGGTGGTAAGTGCATTCACAAGTCCAGTAAACGAACTGGAACCATCCTTGGAACTGTGAAACAAGGCATTTTGACAGTCAACGTCCTGTGGGATGAACCAGAGGGTGGGGTAACTGATGTTCCTTTTAATTATCTGGAGCCTGTTCCGTGCAATCCTTTTAACATCCATAAATTCCCGAAGCTTACTGCAGAAACGTTGCTGGATCTTGCGAAAATAAGTGGTCTGACAAATGAAGTACCTCTGCCTACCTGTGATATTGACCCTGAGGAACTTGAATTGTTGAACAAGACAACAGATGTAACGAAGACTGCTAAATCTCCGCTACCTATTCAGAAATCTGTGGAGAGGCTCAGTGCTCAAATGGTAACCAACATAATTGATGAAGTCACGCAGCAACGCGGCAATTTCGTCGATCTGCTTCGATCGCCTGCCCCAGCTGCTCTTCCTCAGCCATGCAGTGAAGAGTTAGTCAAAAAGTCAGTCGCTGTTAAGTCTGCAGAATTAAAGCTTTTAGAATACGAAGATAAATTGATAAAATTTTCATTTCTACAGACAGCAGCTATGAAAACATTAACAATTTTAATCAACTCTAACCTATTGGCAGAACTACTGTTAGTACCGAAATTAGGTGTTCATGTTGAAAAAGACACAGCCCAGCCACTGGAGCCATCAGAAAAAGAAAGTTCCTCAGATGCTCTTCTGAAAGATGCTTTGAAAACGATTTTCCAATGTATCACTGAAAAAAGTATAGAGCCGTGCTCTATTAGAAATTTAGTTCCTTTAAGCGAGTTGGAACGCGTGTTTAGTATTTTGCACAGCACTCATGTCAAAGTTAAAGTTGAAAAAATGCACCGTATCAGCGAGTTGGAGTCCCGCATCAAAGTTCTGAGGCAGAGTAACTCGTCAACAATTTTTGAGTCTGCTTTATCATCAAATTCATCCAGCTACAATCTACCCAGTTCTTCCAAATCTCGTGGCAGAGGTCATTTTTTTAGTCACCAAAACGCACCGCCAAGTGTTGCACAAACCCCTGCCTCATTGACAAAAATGGCTAAAATGCGGGGCAATCCTCTGTTACACTATTTATTCAATCATCCAATTGCCGCAAATCTACCCAAGCCTATTATTCCTCACTTGCAAGAAATGGGATTCTCTCTGAAACACATCATGAAAGCAGCCTACGCACTGAGAAACAGCCTCAGCATCTCAGTCTCTGTGTCTCAGTCGCCAGCCAAAATCATCAGTAAGCTTGCTACATGGATGATCGAGCATCCTTTAACAGAACTTGAAGCCCAAAGCTCAACAGCAACAAACGCCAGAGCCTCTAGTGCAGAGCCAGAAACCATGTACAATGACTTCTTCGACAATAATCCTCCCGATAGTAGCGTTCGCTCAGTCTTAAGTGCATATGCCAAAGCAAGAAATGAATTAACCTCAGAATTGTGGACTTTCCTCCAGTCTGAGAGAAACACAGAAAGAGAAAGAGAACAAGTCTGTGGTAATGAACAACCTTTGTACTCGCAAGTCGGTTCTAGCTTCATAGACTCACCCACCACTAGCGGACTGGACAATCTCAATAAACTTGATGTACGGTCTTTGGTGTGTCTCCTTTGCTCTGAAACATTTCCTACCTTGTCGCTGCTAAAAGAACACTTTTTGACTCTACACCAAGGATGCAACATGCCTCTAGGTCTATCAAGATGCGGGAAAATAGTATGCAATTGGTATACTCTTTGCAAAAGCTGTCGGATCAAATACAGTGGCAGCCTTTACGATCTTCTCTCCGATGACAGTGTCGAAGCGCAAGGTAAAAGTCCACACACACTATTTTGCTTCATGACAGAGAAAAAAAGCTTTCTAGTATTCACACATTGTTTTTGCTTACCTGGGTGATGAGAATAACGTAAGGAAAATTGGGGAAAACATAGGAACTTAATGCACATTAAATCTGATCTCTGATTATTTTGCTCTTATCAAAATATGCCTGAGATGCTAACTTATTACCAAAAAAGTAAAGGGATTTTTTTCATTTTAAGTAATTATGTTTGACAATTTAAGTGATGCAAATGATGTCAAAAAATTTAGAAAAATCTAAGAAATTCATTTGGATCAAATCTGGCCCTCTAAATGTTCTTTACGCCATCAACTGTCTTTGTCGGTGCTTTGTCGTTTAAAACCTACTGATATTTTTGTAATTTTGCAGTCTGGTTGATGAAATTAAAATCAGTAAAATGAATAAAAAATCGTTCATGAAATTTTCACCTATTAGCTGCTTTTACAGGAAGTCCATTTGAGGAGGAAAAAATCCCTAATCTCTACATATTTATGATCACATGTTTTCGCAGTCGTGAACCATAAAATTACTCAATTTCAAGTAACACTCTTTTAATCCAATAAAATCTCTTTTTCCAGAAATGTCAGGGGCTAATTTAGAAAATGTACCAGATGGGCATAATTTGGACGAAGCCATCTCGAAGGTGTCCCTTTCTGTCCCTGAGGTGATTCTGTTCAAAGGCCCTGATGAGCTTGGTGCCAAATCGGTAGCTACAGTTCCAGAATCTTGGGGTCAAGGCTCAACAACCAGTCATGAAAATCAATCCTCTGCAACATATGCCGACAAACACAAATCGCTCGGGGAGCAGGCTGCCCTCTTGTCAACAATGACCAAAGATCGAGTTGCAGTTTTGAAGAAAATGTTAAAAATTCTTCTCATTTCTCTCTCAAGGACTGCAATAATGAATATCCTCTCATATCTCTCTGTCAGGTATCTACTCAATTTGACAAGTAATTTTCATCAATCTAATCATTACCACTGTCCTTTATTTCCCAGTGTAAATGATCGTATTTTAAAGTTTATCCATGTGTTCTTTGTTCTATATTATTTTTTCCATTGAAAATTTTGACAATAAGTCTTGATTTTTTTTCTATTTCGATTTTAGACCTTTTCCCCTGGTTGTGTCCTGGTTTACATATATGCTGATATATGGTCAATAGAAAAATAACTTAATATCAGACTGCTCAGCTCTTTCCTTGTCACTGTTATTTTTTTCAATCAGTCTATTGTTGCCCTAATTCAGTTGGTAATAACTGCTGAAAATTTTCTCTCTCACTTTTCAGTTGCTCAACATGCAATTTAGCGGATGGCCTGAAATCAATAGGACTGTCTGATGTCAGGAAGGTCATTCGTTTGATGAGTCTGTTAGCTTTGGGGCGAATCGAGCTGTCACCTGTCTCAGAATCCAGCACTGCTAAGTCATTCAATCCAGTCTCATCAGTCATATTTAAAACTGTATCAACAACTAGTAGTTCACTAAAAGTCTCCTCGTCTTATTTGGGACACTTATCGAACGCTATCGCTGCTTTAGCACAGTCAGACCCTGATGCCTCCAAGATGATCGTCTCTATGTGCGCTCAAGTATGTTCACTCTCTCTAAAGATTAAATGAAGGATTATGTTCCATGATACTGTCTTCCATTGTGGGAATTTATTTTTTGAGATGCAACAAAGTGAAATTTGAAAAGGATTAGTGGTTTAAAGAAAAATTTAACAAAAAACTAAAGTGCTATATATAATGTCTTGAATTTTTAAGTTATTTTTATTATTATTTATTTTGATTATTGAATTTGTCAATAGAGTTGCAAAATCCGTCATTTACAATCTATTCTCAGTTTCGCCTTCGTTACTACCTTTTTTCGATGATAATGCAAGTACCTACAAATTACTCACCTCTCATTTACTGTGGATTTTTTCTCTCTCTTTCTGGTTTTATTTTTTACTGTTACATCAAACTTCCAATCACATAACTGGACATGGTGTTATTAAGACTCGGGATTATCCAGACCTATTTGGCAATTGCGCATGCCTGAAACGCACTGAAAACGTGATACCCAGTGTTTCTAATGTTATGTCTTAGTACAAAAGTTCAATCCATTTTCAATCAAGTTAACCATGGCTTGCGATCTAAAATTTTAATATTTGTTTATAATTGATCTCTTCTGAAATTATCAGAACCAGTCCAGTCCCAATCATTCGATATATTTAAAGAGTTTTGCGTGTATCTTAATGAAATTTATTGCTGTTTATCTCTATTGAGATGATATATTTTCACCCTTTGTATTTAAAATATTTTCCCCCATGTTTATCAAAAATTCGAAGTTGGTGTTAAATGAGATCTTATTTCATGATAATTTTTTTCTGCAGGATTTGCTGAATGTTGCATCTGGTGGCGCTGAGATTACCTTTAAAGTTACACAGGCTCTTGTCTCGCTGTTGACGTCACATGGTGGTCATTCACTCAGTGACAGTGAGGAGAAAGTACCTCTGAGTCCAACAGACAAACATGTTGGACCTCTGCTCCTTCCCAATGCGCTTGCCATGTGCATTCTCTCCCAGCGCTTGAGTCCTGACCACCGACAGTGGGCTGCAGTGCAGTTGGTAAGGCCTATTTCTTATCAAAATATAAGCCAATCACAAAATTTAAGATCTTCATCGGTTTTACTTGATTAAAGTCAATCATCTTTGCTGTTTGTTTTATACATATATGTTAAGCTATTAAATTCTTTCCCCTATCATGAAAGTTGCAAAATTAAAAGTTTGAGTAAATAAAAACCAGTAGATCTGAAACTGTTGGTCAGTTTTCCTTTGAAAAAATAAAAAATGAGTGGAGACTTACAACCTCTAAATCTGAGGTACTTATTTTTTGACCCTTATCATTGATATAACAGTAAAATTATGCTTTCTCCAAATCAAATCCCAGAAACGTCGATTAATTTTTCTAGATCACATTCATTGTACAAATAATTTAAATTCACTTTGTGTGATCATCAGGTCAAATGCATCGGCAACAAATCAGTTTCCGGCTCCAATTATTTCTCTGAATCGCTGAACTTGGTTGATTTGTGTGGAGCTATCGACAGTTGTGATGTGCGCCCATTGCAAGGGCATGACAATCGAGTAAGTTGTGTTTTATACCACGAAAGTCGGAATCTGATGGCAACGTGTGGCTACGATAGCACGGTCCGAGTCTGGAGTTTCCCAAATCCGAGTTTAGAACGTACGCTTGTCTTCTACAAGTCAGACAACCATTACGGCAGTGAGTTGCATGGTGAGCAAGTATGTTGTCTCAGCTGGTCGCCCTCCGGAGACTACATCGCAGCATCCATGGAGAATACCATCAACATTTGGCACCTACCAGGTACCCATGATTCCATATAATTTTTGGAAAAAGACAAATTTTATGAGAAAAGATCAGAGAAGTTAGGTATTAATACATTAAAATGAAATGAAAATTCGATTGGACATTCAATATTGCAGTTAAAGTCGCTTCCAGATTTTTTATTTAATATTTACTTGTAGTTAAAAATCTCCTGAGGAAAAAAGGGATTTTGGAGGGGCTCTTTGCAGACCAAATTCGTGAAGAGTGGGGATTTACAGAGATCAAGGATAAAAGTTTACATGAAGGGGAAAAAAACAAAAATAAGTAAATAAAATAAAACATTTAAACTTACTATTTACTTATTGTTAATGGATTCCTGTTGTAGAATTGGTAACATCCTTGTCTTTTCTCTATATCTTCAACTTTGCACTAACTCTCATGGTATTTCTCAAGTTTTTTTGTCAAGAACATAATGTCGCAAGCAAGCAGAAGATAGTACATACATATTTGCTGTTGTCTTGCCTAACACAGAACCTATAAGTCCCTTGTTTTATAGCAAGGTAAATTCCATTGATTTTTAATTACCCAAATGATTTCGAAGAGTTTTTTGGATGCAATCTTGAAGACTGGAGGACTTTCATACTGAAATTCCAAGTTCAAAATCCTTTTGTTTCATTTTCTCAAAACTTCATCTTTGGAGTTACCACTTTATTTGGTAAGATCACATAATTAGTTTAATCGTCTCTCCTATCTGACTTGTTTGGTATTAATGTTCCAGAAACTTGGAAGTTTGGTGAAAATAGTCTCATAGATATCCACGAGACATGGATCACAGCTCTTTGCTGGCCACGAGAATGTTCATCCTCATCTGATGAATCGCTCATTGTAGGAAGAGCCAATGGTTCACTGGCTTACATTTCCGTGTCTTGTGGATCTTTCAGTAAAAGTGACTTACCCCAGTTGACGCAACAAGGTGCGTCAGTCACTCACATCTCATGGTTCTCAGATGAGCAGCACTTTGCTGTGGCTTTCAGTGATGGAACAGTCAAGTTTGCTCAGAAACAGAACAATTTTGAACCGATTTCAATTATGGCACATCAGGTTTGTACTTCCTTGTTTATTCCTTGTTTCCATTTTAAATGTCCGTGTTCAGATTAGAAGAAACCAGAAATGATACTATTCTCCAAATTATTATAAATTTTGTAACGAAAATTTCTTATGGGAGTCTACAGGTAAAAAAATTTCTGAAAATAATGAAAATTACATTTCTGAGGCAAATTTTCCTACCGGANGGGGGGGGGGGGGGTTTCCAGACCCTCTGGACTGAGGACTTTCCTATTTGAAAACTTGCTCCAGTAAATGTATCGATCAGCTGAAATTTACAATGATGGTCATTTCTTGAAATATTAGCTGTGATAAGTTAAAAAAAACGATTTTGGCGTTGGCCCTTATGAAAAAATAGTTTAAAAATACCATGTATAGGCACGAACATCAGCATGTTCATGTTCCATAACTCCTCTATTGTTTAATCTCTTTCAATCAACCCTAATTTATTTTTCTTACATCAAGAACTAATTATCTCTGTATGAGCATTGAGACTTTGACACAACATTTCTCTTCTTTTTTTTTATGTTTGAACTTCTACCTTTGGTTGAGGATTAGTTTGCTAATGTCTCATTTTCAAATTCTTTCAGAGTGCCATATCTTGCTTCCAATGGTGTCCTGACGGTGTCTTGCTGGCAACATGCGGGACAGATGACCGTTGTTGCCGCCTTTGGAAGAAACAACAAGACAAGGATGAGTGGCATTGTGTCCATTCTCTTGTCAGCTCACAGGACCCTACTTCATTGACCTGGTCGCCAGTTGTCGGTAAATGATTAAATCTTCTCCTAATTTTTAGTTAACATAATTTTTATAAGCCTAACCCTACATATATGGTTATTTTTGTGGCCGTTCCTTAAACGGTTCCATTTCTTGGGAAAGTCTCATTTCGTTTAATTGGTGATTAAAAGAAGTGTAAGGAAATCTTGAACAAAGCATCTTTAAAAGGACAACTTTGGTGAAGCTTTAGCTCAATCGAACACTATAACATGGAAAATGCATTCTAAAGCGACATTTTTCTCGGCAACTTGATGCAATTTCAGATTTGATCATTCTGACAGGTGCACCACAGTTGGACTCCCAATTCTCAAATGGAAGACAGCAACTGCTTGTCTATGTCATTTCTCCTCTGCTCTCCTTAAATCCTTAAATTTACGCCATAATCAATGTAATTTTTTTGTTTCTTTCAGGGCGACCGTATCCCTATGTATTATGCATCGGGACTGTTATGGGTTTAATAAACATATGGCTTGTACCAGATCATCCTAGTTCTTGTGAAGAGGCATTGAATCAAGAAATCTTGCCCATCAAATTACTGCATAGCGTTCAGGGTCATCTATATAATCCTGTAATTTCGCTTCTTGTGGATCACACTGGCGAACTGCTGGCATCAGGCTGTCAGAAAGGCCCCAGTGGTGTTGTTTACATCTGGTCTTTGCAGGATGGCACCCTTCTCAATACTCATACCGGCTCAGGTGGAGTTCAAAGTCTTGCGTGGCTAGCAGACTACGGACTTGCAGCTTGTTTCGCACGTTCAAAAGATATCAATCTAGTCGAGTTCAATACTCACAATTACCACAATGACCGAGTTCTAGCAGCATGTCGAAATGCATTGTTGAAGCAGGACATTTACGGCCTTGACTCAGCTCCATGTTTGCGGAAACTGTTCCAAAATTTGCCATCGATTATTCTTCAACAGTATCAGTATGAGAAGCCACATGTTGTGAACGGAGAGCAACTTGTATTCAGCGACTATTTGAAGTGCCTTGTGACATTAGCCTTGTCATTACACCTGGAAAACATTCTTTGCTCTCCAGAATCACCACCAAATGATTTTAACGGGGATATCAATCCGGACTGGGCATGGTTGCACACGTTGAGTGTCGCATCAGAAACTGCGGATGCTCTCGTTAATCGAACTCCATTCCCATCTGCATTTCTCAGGCACAAAGTAGACATAGCAAATTCCGAGGAAGATTGGCAAATGGCAATCAACAATGAGAACTGGAGCCTGGAAGCGGACACGCAGCTGATGTGCTGGGCAAAAACGATGCCTCAAGACTGGCAAATTGGTGGCAAGTGTGACACCTATATGTGGGGCTCTGGTCGCTATGGGCAGTTAGCAGAAGCCGGAAGTTGGATCGTGCCATTTTTAGTGGAGTCTTTTTCTAATGCTCAACAAGTAATTTGTGGCTTAAATTGCACGTTCGTGATCGAGCCGAATGGAACGGTTCTGTCTTGCGGAGAGGGAAGTTACGGACGGCTGGGGCAAGGCCACTCAGACGATCTGCATACTCTCAGTATCATATCTGCACTTCAAGGTTTTGTCATTATTGAGTTGGCAACTTCTTGCGGAAGTGATGGACACAGCTTAGCCCTGGCTGAAAGTGGCGAAGTTTTCTCTTGGGGAGATGGTGATTATGGAAAGTTGGGCCATGGTAATAGCGATCGACAAAGAAGACCTCGTCAGATTGAAGCTCTCCAAGGAGAAGACGTTATTCAGGTCAGCTAATATTATTATTTTTTTTTCCGTGTTGAAATGAGTTTTGTATGAGCTAATGATTTTGAAAATAAAGATGGGCTGATTCTATGCTCCACCAACGGTGAATTGCGTACCCAGCCAGTAGCAAAAGTTGGGTTAAGACGGATGGTCAATTTCCATAATTCCTTATAAGAATTTAACGTTTCCAGACTTTGTTCTAATTCAGAAGAAACAGCATACATATTTGCAAACCTGTGTCCTGTATAAAACTTAGGCATCCATCAAGTGAGTTTATAACGAAAATTTTATCGCCAAATCCTTTGTTATAAAAACTCCCATAAGAACCCATATTATTTTCAGGTGTGGAGGTTAGAACCAGAATAGGTACCTCCATCCCCAATCCTCTTTTTGAACAGGCGCCTCATTTTGGCTGTGTTTTTTCAAAGGCTGCCAACAATCTATAGTCTTTATGTAGTTGGTACGAGCATAGTAAGCTATAATGTGCAATTTAGACAGCCATACTTTCTATTTTCAACTGGCATTCCTGAAGGGCGAAAAATTTCATTTAAAAAAAAAAAAATTTTGAAGTTGCATTGGCTGCATGTCTCTTGAATGGTAATTTTATCTCCAGGGGCATGAGAGGCATTACTTATTTCAGAGTGAAAAAAAGAAATGAAAAAGATTGCTTCTACAAGTCACCGAAAAACGACGGCAAGAATTTTTATTTTAGTTTTATGTAGCTTTACTGACCTTTACTTTTATTTTATCAATGACAATGTATCTTACAGGTTGCATGTGGGTTCAAGCACAGTGCAGTAGTAACTGCCGATGGGAAACTCTTCACTTTCGGCAACAGTGACTATGGCCGTCTGGGGCATGGCTCATCAACCAACAAGAATGTTCCAGAGTGGGTCTTATCCTTGCTACATGTTCAAGTTGAGCAAGTTTCTTGTGGCCTAAACCATACTGCATGTGTTGCCAAAGGCGGCAACCGAGTATACACTTTTGGTGATGGCGAATACGGGAAATTAGGTCTGGGGCATACCACTACAAAGTCCACACCTCAGGTATGTCACTTGGACTACATTCTGCAATTATAAACCTTTATTTCCAGCAAAGGTCAGAAACAACGTATGTACCATTAGTTTCCTTATGCACCTAAGTGTTTTTACAAATGAGCCAGAAATTGTTGATCCAAATTGAAAAATGATGTCTATTTGAAGGACAGTACTTATATGCACTTATTTTTTACATCTATACTCCTTCATCCTGAGAATTTTGAGCGGATGCTGTTCTCAAATGACGTTAAGTATTTTAGGAGGAGAGGGAGGGGTCTAAGAGTGCCTGACAAACCCCTTTAAAGGAGGGTAGAAGGAGAAGCAAGGCTTTAATATTGGGAGAGGAGGGAAGGGGATAGAAGTGATCATTGTTTTGAAGTGGAAGACAAGCAATTTTGTGCTGGTCTCGTAAAAATATTTAATTACTCATACAGCAAGACCCCAATTTATCAAATTTCACTGGAGAATTTAATTGTTAAATTCCGAATTCTGTTCATGCAAATTAGCTTGAAGTCCTGGAAGGGACCAAAAGATTGATCTTTTAAATTTCGGAATCTGTCAAATTGCAATATGATTTTAGGTCTTACTGAAGTCATATATTTTGTACTGGGGTTTTTTTTAGCAAATTTATATTGTATTTTTGACCAATTGTGACTGTTTAATTTCTTCCTTCACATTTTTCTCTTTTTTTTTATAGCTGGTTGAGGCCCTTGCAGAAGAAGAGATAAAGAAAGTTTGCTGTGGAACCCAGTTCACAGTGTTTTTAACAACTGATGGGCGGATATTCACTTGTGGTATGGATAAACTTTGCGGACTTCCAGAGAACAGAATCAAAGGAGACTGCAAACCTCAGCAAGTAAGATCTCAGTTATCAATTTCCTTAAAATCTAAATTCAAAGTAAAATTTGTTTTTCAAATTAAAATTAAACATATCAAAGCTCATGGTGAATTTTAAAAATAAAATTTTCTCTTCTGAATTTTTTTAAATATTTTTCCGTACTTCAGTGTGTTAAATTTTAATTTAAGATACAATTTTTAGAAATAATAATCTGAAAAAAATTTTAAGTCAAAAGAGCTATCTAAAGCTTTTTAAAGCTAGGAAACGCATCTCAATAAAATTTACTTCAGAAACACCTATTTTTAAGGTAATTCCTTAATCTTTACCGTCCTATGCACTAAACGCAGTTTAGAATCGTGGGAGTTATGTAAATGTATAATGCCCCTGTATAAAATCTTTGACTCATTATCTCCAGTTATTTGACTTTTAAATCTCAATTAATTTTTTTTCTTCTTTTTCTCCCAGATTACATCTCTAAGCGGTCATTTCTTTGAAGATGTTGTCGTTGGATCAGAACATGCATTGGCTCTTACAAGCAATGGTGAAGTTTTTGCATGGGGAAATAATTCTGATGCTCAACTTGGTCTGGCAACAACTGCTCTAATTCGAGAACCACTTCAGATTACTGATCTCAAAAATAAGAATATCAAACAGGTTGGATGCGTTTTTATGTTATGATCATATTTTAGGGTAAATGACTCTGTTAGCAGAGCAGAGAATTTTTTTTAACATATTGTTACTTCAACAGATAGTGCTAATTTTGAGACCTCACAGTAAGGGTGTAGAAACGTAGCCGTTTGCATGAAAAAATGGGGAAACTAGTAGGCAACAGGACTGAAATTGTGTGTTATTGGAAATAGCGGTGGAATTCCTAAATCTCTGCAGAATTGCGATGAAATTTGCGTATTTATTGCAACATCAGGGAATTTTGTGAATGAAGGACCTAAAAAAAGGTCATAGCTTTGAAAACTTTGGGTAAAAGTGGTTTTCAAAATACGAAGACCCGAAAACTTTCTGCATACCTGATTCATTGAATGTTTGCAAGTATTTTCTCCTAACTTCTTGACCTGACAAAATTTTTTAAGGTACACCTTTTAAGTGCGCAGTGCATGAATTGGCGATCAAAGTTAGTTTTTATGGAATGTTCAAGAGAATTCAAAAGGATCTGGCTGTTATGACCAGAACTCCGAGCTGCAAGCCCTACATTAATCACTTGCTCTCCACAGTCAACTTTTGACAACTTTTGTGGGGGGGAGGGGGGACTTCTACACTTGGGACTGATTTTTTGGGTGAATTTGAGTGAAATCAGATGTTGTCTTTTATACTATATAGTTTGGCTCAGAGAATTTTCTTCAGAGTATTAAAAGTGACACCTGAGAATTCCTGTTTGAAAAATTTTAGACCTAAAGTGATAATTGAAGAAATCCTTAACAGGCTTAATGCCGAAAAATGGGAAATTGAGTTAGACATGGCATTTCATTCTAAGCACCAAGGACAACTTAATGCGTAACAAAGTCACCAACACAAGAATATGTAGAGCGTGTAATGTCTAAAAGACGATCTTAGTGGAATGACTTGCAGCAGTTGTCAGAAATAAAAGTGCAAATAACTCAAAATTAACTTCTTGGCACCTAGCCCTTTACTGAATAAAAGTCCTCTGTTTTCCTGATTCTCATGTGACTTCAGTAAAGGTGATTAGAAATTCTAATATATCTGGAATCAAAGTTATTAAAGAAAATGTATCTGGACCTGTTTCTCAGGTTGTTAATGCATAGTTCCATCTTTTTATTGTGAACATTTTACGTAATTATTTTTGTTTTGTCCAGATTTAAAACACTAATATTCAATTTTTGATTAATTTTAATAGATTTCTACGGGGCGAGCCCACAGTGCGGCATGGACAGCTCCACCATTGCCGAAAAGACATGGTCTTTCAACAAAGCTCCGATTTGGTCTTCCTCCGTCCATTCCTAGTCAATTTGGTTCTTTGCAAAATTTATCCCTGAGTGCCATTCAAACGAGGCTTAAGCTACTCTTTCATTTCTCAGATTCAATGTACTCATGTTGGCGACTTCTTGCTCTCTCATCCTCAGTAAGAATTCTTCCACTTTTTTCTTCTGACCCTACTTGGCAAAATAACAACAGTACATGAATATTTTAGATTGCATCAACTTGAAAATCGTTGACTAGATTTTAAGGCGCTCTCAAAGAAGCTCTTAGAGGAACTGAAATTTTTTTAAGTAGGCGTTTCTTGGTATTGAAAAAAGAACAGTACCTCCTAATACTCTCTAATTAGTGCTATCTAGTCTTGTACTATCTAGTCTAGTACTATCTAGTCTTAATGCTCTTTAAAAATATTTTTTAAAATATTTAAGACAACTAGACAAGTTTAGAGAGAAAACATATTGATAGTGAAACTCCGAAACTATGTATTTTGTTTGCAGTGTTTTAATTTCTCTACCCCAATGTCATTTTCATAAAGAAAAACAAATCAACATCATTCCTTGAAATTTTCCCAGATTTTTTTTCACACAGAGGAGAAAAATTGTGGAAGTCTTAAAGAATATATGTTGAGTAGTTTTCCATTTAAAAAATAAAGTGTGACAGGAAGTCTACAAAGTCAAAACTGTAATGCGAGTTTTGGGGGTTTCACCGTCAATATAGTTCCCATTGTATGCATGTGTGTTTACAGTCATAATTTCACTGAAAAGCTTAAAGCTCCTGCTCTTTAGATGGAGACTGATATTAAGTCTTGACATTGACTTACTTTGAAGACTTTTCACTTAAGCCAAATATTTTGTATGTGTTAATTAAAGGAGTGTGATTGGTGCAATATTTTACCCTATCGATGGTTGATGTCCCCTCATCTGCGTGCATTGCTGGCTCCACGAGTCTACACGTTACCTCTAGTCCGTTGTTTAGGACGCACAATGGTCCAAGGCCGAAATTATGGTCCTCCAGTCACGGTGAGAAGGTTGGCCACGCGCGGCAAACAGCGCACAACGAAACCGATTTTCACACAGATTGCAGCACAAGTTATCAGAATGAAACCAGCTGACCTGCGATTACCATCCAGGGCTTGGAAGGTATACTTTTTGCTTCTATATCTCCTTTTTACATTTTCTTTTGACTTGAGCATGTAATCACTTTTCCAGATTTTCATGTTTTTCTTTTGCCTGTTCAAATCAATATTTTTGTTGAAGAGACGAGTGCTTATGATTGTAAAGTCATATAATGTATTTTATAATTTTAGTTTGAAAATTTTTCGAACCTGCCGGAAGCTCTAAAATTATTGCAACAATTTTCCTCTCTTCAAGAGATTTGCCAGAGTTTTTATTGCTCCTGATTTTGTTTCTCTCTCCTGCTTACACAATCTGGTTCACTTTCAAAGGAGCAATTTTCATTTCAAACTTCTAGAATTTTAAAAAAATTTAATGAGTATTTTGACTTTCTTTTATCAAACATTTTATCCCTCTCTAGGTCAAACTAATTGGTGAAGGTGCAGATGATGCTGGTGGTGTATTTGACGATACTATTACGGAAATGTGCAATGAACTTCTCTCGTTTACGGTTCCTCTCTTAATTCCTACTCCGAATAAGACATCTGAAACTGGTTACAATCAGGATAGATATTTGATCAATCCTCAGCTCAAAAATCTCGACTGGTTCAAATTTCTAGGTAAAAATTTGTTCTTGTATATTTTTCCTTCCTATGTATTTCGAAATTTCGTATCATAAAGAAAGATTTGTGAAAGAACGAAATGTCAATTTGGCAATCACTCCTTGAAGGAGGACACTGCTTTTAGCTTCAAACGTTTTTTCTTGTATACTATCGAGACATGTATTATGTTCTCTCATCTCTTATGTTTATTCGTTACTTAATTCTCCAATGATATTCTGTAATCTTTTTTATTTTTTTATTTTTAGGAATCTTGTTTGGAGTTGCAATACGGACTAAAAAACCCCTAGCTCTACCTCTGTCACCTTTCATTTGGAAGTTGATTGTTAACGAACCAGTATCAATGGCGGATATTGAAGAAAACGACACACTGTATGCTCAAAGTCTAAGAGGCATTAGAGACATCCACTTATCAGGAGTCACAGAGGAAAATTTCCATGAGGTAACTTGGTTCTTATTTTTCTAGAAGTTTTTTCCAGCGCTGTCTGTCTGATTTCTTTAGTACAATTGCTGCTAAAATCTCTGTAATGAATGGAAGTCAACAAAGCCAGCAGGAATTAAAAAAATCCAATTTAAACCAGATTACAAAATAATTATAGATAATTTCATGAAAGTCTATGATTTGTAAACTTTAGACCTCTCTAGTCCTCGCTAATTGCAATGTTTATTTTCTATTAAAGGTAATTCCACTAGAATGTTTTGAAGGCGTTAGTTGGACAGGTCAGCTTCTCCCAATAGTTGCAGCTGGTCGAAGCATCCCTCTAACCTTCCGTAATAGGTTACAGTATGTAGAGCAGGCTGTGCAATTCCGTCTACATGAAATGGACCTCCAAATAGCAGCCATTCGGGAGGGCATGTCATGGATCATTCCTGTCCCACTACTTTCTCTCATCACTTGCACTCACATTGAACAGCTAGTCTGTGGTCTGCCGCATATCTCAATCCATTTACTGAAAAAAATTGTCAGGTATGTTTAATCTTAATTATCAAAAGCTTGCAGAAATGAAACTCAGAATCGCTTGCGTTTTTTAACCCCCAGCGGCCAGATGAAAAAAGTTCATAACCGTAGCTAGTGGTGTGGAAAATCAATTTTGGCCCAGCTCTTTTGGTTGCAAATTTAAAGATACAATCAAGATAAAATTGAGCTTTTCATTTTGAAATTGAACAATATTTTACGTGTAAAATGTAATGAAATGGTTTCCCAAGTGGATTGCATTTCGCAAAAAGGAACCAAGAACATTCCAATGTTGCTAGAATTGCGCTCCTCGCATTCTATGTAATAAAATTACTGAAATTGTGCAAAAAAGTAAATTTACAGAGATAATTTTCATCCTGAATCTATAATTTATTGGGAGTAAAGGTAAAACTTGTTTAAGGGATCAATTTATATTTGCAAGGTAAAAACAATTACACAATTTTAGCAACATTGGTTCCTTTTTGAAAAATGCAATCCAAGTGATCTGAAAAAGAGTAGATTTCTCAAATTTTCAGTCTATACTTTTTTAAGGGAGCCTAAAGTACACTTATCTAATCAAAACCCTAAATATTACTGCTATCTCATTTACACCTGGTGGATGATTTGCTTCTTGTATAATATCTTTGATAAAACTATAACACAAATTCATAGCAGGAAACAGAGTAGTTTTTCATATTTTGCGTGAATTTTAAGTGCAGGAATAGGTGACTGGAGACCTCCATATAGCAATTCCATCTGTACGTTCCTGGGGCTCATGGATTTAGTAAAGCCAATTTTCAACCAGTTTTGAAATGATTGAAGTTTTATTAGAATGCATTGAGCTTTTATTCAGTAAATGTACTTACAGCAGACGTTTGTAGTCCATTTCTTAGCCAGTTAGAAGTTGTTTCTTTTGAGATACTTTGATTTTAATGCCTCTTTCAAAATAATGAAATTCCAATTCTTAGAAAATCTCTTACATTTTTAATCCACCATTTTTCAGATATCGGGACCTCGATGAAACAAACATTCTAGTTCAGTGGCTATGGCAAGTGCTAGAAAGTTTCTCAGATATGGAGCGGGTTCTGTTTATGCGCTTTGTCTCAGGACGTTCTCGACTTCCTGCCAACATGGCTGATTTATCCCAGAGATTCCAGGTCAGTACTATCATATTTTTTTATACTCTTTCTTTAATGGGTGATTTCATGATAAAAGGAATAGTCATGTTGCCATTGGTTATAAACAACTTCGGGCAAAACGATTAAAAACCAAGTTGATAAATTAATAGAAATGATGTCCCTGAACTTATCTATGCTAAAAAGTTCAGGAAAAAACCAGGAACGATAGGCATAGGCCTATCAGGCATTATCAGGCATTAGAGAGTCTAAATTTCTATTTTTTTTTTTTTAAATTCATCCCTTTCCTGTTGTAGGAAATAGACAATTATCAGGATAAAAATTAAGGAGATTTCAATGCTTTTTTTGTTTCAGATTGTGAAAGTAGACCGTGCCTGCGATGGTCTGCCTACCGCTCAAACTTGTTTTTTCCAACTAAGGTTACCACCATACTCGAGTCCAGACATTCTTGCAGAGAAATTGCGTTATGCTATCAATAATTGTCGATGCATCGATATGGACAATTACATGCTAACAAGGAATGCCGATCAGGGCTCTGATGAAGAATATTAATGTGAAATTTCTCTCTCCTCCCATTTTTTTACTCAACAATGAGACTGATTTTTATCATGACTCGGATATTTGTCTTGTTTTTTTGTTGTTTAATCTTGACAAAGTCTTCTTATTTTATTCTGCGGCTGTTGAAATTTTGTTTCGCTCTGGGAAACCAGAGGATTTGATAGATTTTTATAAAAAAGTTTTGTTCATGTTTTCTCCTTATCTGTGAAAATATCATTGTTTCGATAATAATGATTTTATGCTATATTTTGTTAAATATATGTCTGTTCATATTTGTTAGAAACGTCTTCAGTATTTTCATAAGTACTAATTTTACCCAGAGCTAAATATCTGTTTCTGAAAGGAAGATTCATCCAGTATTCAGGATGCTGTGCTGGTATCCTCCTCTGTGGAATGTTCCCTGTTATCTATCCCCGATAAAATTTAAATCATCCAATTTTTCAATCCATCTTTTACTGCTAGGTAATATTTTGACCCTAAAAAAGCTAATGCAATCTTCTCTTAAGAGAAAAAAATACATATGGTGATTTTATCTTGCAATGAAGCCATTTTTTTAGTCGTTGTGGTTAGTGAATGTCTTGCATTGAAAACTGCATAACTCAGAAAAAATGAAAATTCTGTATTATTGCAGACAGTTTGTTAAGAAGGTCCTCATGCAGCTTTTTTTTGTTATGTCTTTTTTCAAAACAATTTTTTAAATTTCACATTGGAAAGACCGACAGACCGACACAAATTCCTGCTTCAAAAAGTGCCCAACTGAAAGGTTTATAAATGTTTATATTATCCTGTTAAGCCCAATTTGCATGGTTTGAGTTTTCATTCAACTTTCTTCCCAACTTTATCGGATGAAAATCTTTATTTGTGTCAGAGTGTTTTCAATTGTTTCAATTTTGTCAGAGGAGAATTTGGATGAAAAATTGAACCTTACAAATCGGGCCTTATAGGACCATAAAGTTTCATATTTTTGGCTACTGGGCTCCTCTTGGGAACTGATTATTTGGCGTTAAAAACACTTCTCATACCCCAAAAATTTTTGGCTTAACTTGGTCTTTCCCATACTCTGGAAGTTCTTTTTTTCTGAGTGTACAGAGCAATAAAAGCTACTCAAGTACTCTTGCCATTGCTTATATTTTCTATGCAGTTCCTCTTTTTGTGTAAAGGAAAAGACATCCAGCTTTTCAATGAAGCAGGTCTACTATAACTTGCCATAATTCCTGCTGGAAACTAGGAATCGGAACTAATAATCACTTTCAAAATAACTGTTCCTCCCCACCGATATTTTTTGCCTCTAGGCAATTGCCTCAATTGATGTTCATTGGCCACTCTGGCATACTGATGTCCTCTTAGTCATGAAACGGACTCAATAGACAAAGTAGTTACACTGTCCTAGTCCTCAAACTGTTTTAAGAAACAGTCTATAGGAAGTAGTCATGATGAGCCACTTTGGGTAAGGGGGGAGGGGGGATTGTTCCTGACCCCAAGATTAAACAATTGAGCCCCTCGCATGAAACGTGCTTAAGTAAGTTTCGCCATGGCAAAGCAATCACCACGGTACCCGCAAAGGAATAAGGTGTTTATTCAATGGCAAAACCTTACAATAATTTATTCCATGGCAGAACTGACTGTAGAAAGATCAAAATAAATAAAATTGACAATTGAGTAAGAGAAACGGCAACATTGACACCATGATTTAGTCACAAGAGAGCGCTGTTGCTGTTTGCCCCTACCCCTCTCACCCTCACTGAGTCCTTTCCCTCTTTCCCTCATCATTGGACAATTATTATCCCTCCCCTCCCCTTCCAGTCAAGGGCTTAATCAGCAGATCACGTGACCACAACAAAGAATCTTATCACCTTTGTTTGCTGTCTAGCGTTGTGTTTGACTGACCAAGTTCGGCCGTGATAAAATTACGTCTAACGGCCTTTGTATCTCATTACGTTCCTACTTACGCGTTTAGTGCCATCTCGAACAAACTTCCAATCGACTTGAAACTTGAACTCAAGTCCTCATTCCTCATCAAAGCTTCATCATCTGTGGACGGACCGGTTCTCAGTCAACTGCGTAATTTCATCTTACTCGTAAGTTTAACGTGCTCTTTTTTATCGATAACACCTCACGAAACTTCTCTCCCTTAAACTCCCTCAAATATTAGCGTTTAATTATTTTTATTGTGTGCAACAGGCCAGAAGCAGGAACTTTCATACCTCCAAACCATCCTGGTGTGTGAGAGTCTTTTTCCTTTGTCCTTTCTTCTAATCTCACATCTTCAATCTTACTCTTTAAGCTGTTAAATTTCACTCACCTTATAAATTGCAAAGCTTTTTATTTTTTTTCATTTATGGGCTTATTATGATCACCATCACAGACTCATGTTCAATCGCCATCAGTGTAGGATTCTGACTGTGGTCTTTGTCTGAGCCATTACTTTTTCCTCGACACTCTTTTCTGAGATTGATCTTCCATTGTTAAAGAAACCACTCCGGGCTGGTTCCATGAAAGTCTAGCATGAAAAATGCCTGATCTGACGTAGTTCTTAACTGTGTACTGTACGATTACAGTGGCCTGTTAAGAGCTGATGCTTGCTTTTGAGGTTCAGAAACCAGATCCTTTTGATTTGACAGAAATCTATTCTAATCCTTTTATGTGAGTAAAGTCCTTAAAGCTTCCATAAGTTTACCAAGAGCTGTATTTATGATTTTTTGCCTATGGGCTCAGCTCTTAGGTAACGCTTTCCCTTAAGCTGACCCTCATGTGCCTTACTGGATGGAAAGTGGGCCCGAGTTTGAACCAACGTAATGCTTTTTTCATAAAGTGCTTGATTTATTTAATTTATCAATGTTAATTTCATCTCTACATTCAACCTTCTCATTACCTATTGGTTTTTTGTTTTCATTAATAGGACCAGTGGTTCAAGCCAGAATGCAGCCAACTATAATACTCCTAGCAGCTCTGCTGCCTGCAATCTTAGCTGTTACCTCAAATGATGTTGTTCACGAAGAATTTGAGCAATTTAAGGTATACCAATCATTTCTCTCGCCCTCATGAGCGTTCTTCACTTTTATCCTGTACTTACAAAAAAATTTATTCGCTGATTGGATAATGAATATGGGGCCTTTGAGGACAAGTGGGATAAGTGCAAGTTTCAAAATTGCATGGAGATTTATGTTGAAAAGTCCAAATTCACTTTTAAATTCTGAATTGGATTTTAGTGATGAATTTCTCATTACATCTTATGTCTTATATCTATTATCTTATGTCTTATATATTATCTTAGTTTTAGTTCAAATCATCAATATCTCAATTTTTCAAAAATTGCACTTACCTACCCTCCAACCTATCCCATTTGTCTTCCAAGCCCCTCTTATTAACCTTCAGGAACTGAAGATCGACAGCAAACTGTTTTGAATTTATTCTTTCTTAGCTTATGGCCTCTTGGCATTTTTTTTTTCTTGGAACTACATCCATTTTGACTTTAAGCCCTATCATGCATGTATTCTAATGGATCTCAGGGTTTACATCAGAATAGATAGGTAGGCACTGTTCCTTGTGATTTAAACACGTCCTTATGATGCTTTGTTAATTTAGTTGAATGTTCGAATTTTTTTTAAAAGAGTGAAAGACAACAGTTTTAGAATGATCGGGCTGTTTTAAAATATTTGTTTATAAAAATAATATAAAAATTTAGTTTGTAGCAAAATTTGGTACCTAAGTTAATAAGAAAAATATTTGTTTTGTAACTTGATGGTGAAATTTGCAAAGTATTAAAATTCAAAATACCAGAAGTTAAAATGTTTCTCACTTACCTAGTTTGATGCTTCTCTCATAATTTGCGACACCCTGTATATTGCATGGTGCATGCATGTACTCATGTACTTCTAAATCAAACTCTGATTTTTTAGATGGCGCACGGCAAGAAGTACAACAATGATATCGAGGAAGGCTTCAGGCTGAAAATTTTCATGGAGAACAAGCATAAAATTGCAAAGCACAACCAGAGGCATGAACGAGGAGAAGTCTCCTACAAACTAGCCATGAACCACTTTGGAGATATGGTATGTATGCCAGTCCATCCATTTCATTTTCTATGTCTACCCTAGTAACAGTGGCTGTTGAGAAAAGTTGTGAAAAACTCATAACCACTTTAAAATTACGAAAAAAAATTCGTGAGAAATTCGTACGAGGAAACCCTTTTTGGGGATTTATTTACATTAAATTGAATACAAATTTTAACTAAATTTTAAGTAAAATTTTCAGGCTTCCCCTGAGGGAAAAAAGTGGTAAACAGAAAAGTATACTTAAAAAAGAAAAGTTGCAGCCCATAAAAATTGAGGATATAGTTTGTTGTTTTTCACGTAAATTTTTTGTTTTCTTTTAATTAAAAGAACTCTATTTCTTTTTCCAAAAAGAATTCCCCGTAAGGGTTTCCAAAAATGAGTATTTTAAGAGGGTTTTTACTTGAAATTTACAAACTCTTGTTTACAAGTTTTTTACATTTTTTTTTTTTTTTTTTTTTTGACAACTTTTTGTAGAATTTTTTTAAGAGCCATTGCTACTAGGGTAATTTTTGTAGCCTTTAAGTTATTACAGATATCAGCTCATTTGTGTTATTGTAAACCTCTTTTATTGTTCTTGAAACTATGACTCAAACCAAAATATTTTAGAAATTCACACTTACAATCCAAGCAATGTAATTGGGTGAGGAACAAGTTAAGTTCAGAGGTCACAGTTCCTTTTCATCTAGTGATAAAACTCCTCAACTAATGCCTCATTGATTTCCTCACAAACTTCCCAAAAATTCCGTCCAAAAGTCTGATTAATATGATTTTTAAGCTGATGACATAGAATGCTGGATTGGTGTCAGTCAAACATGAGCATTTTTACATAACATCCCTAGCATGCCTAGCAGTCTGACTCATGAAATTTGAACCTATGATAAGAGAAACCAATTTGCAAGATAAATGAGCAGTTATTTCTTTCATGGCAAGTTATCAGGTTTTGGTCGCTATCCTTATCTGGAGTCGGGTTCTTGGAAAGTGTGATAGTGAGGAAGAATACAATTTACTAGGTTTCTCCTTCCCCAAGATAAAAATAGTTTTCACATCGGATTACTCATTGCCAATACTCTTAAGGGGGTCGCTTAGGATTTCATCCGGACTTTTCTCATTTTTTCCCCCTAGGAAATATTTGTTAAATAATTCAAAGAACATAACTGTGTGCTGCTAAATCAGCAAGATTTTACTGTAGGTCCTCAACGTTTGCCAGCAGCCAGCTCTCATAATTAATTGCCAAAATTAATCAAAGAAATTAAAGAAAACAAGGACTTTCTCAACACTGGCAAAAATCTATGAATTACCAAAGTCTGCTACACCATTGAGGAATTATAAACTGTTAGCTTTAAAACTAAAGTAACCACAAATGTTGCAAACTGATTTGTATTTTAACAAGGTTTATCGTTTGCCAATATTGTCCCAATGTATGCCAAATAAACAAGAAGAGGGGAAGATAGATAGAGATTAGCACTGGCTGTTTAAAAAGAAGTCTTGAAAAAATACTGTTTAATTATCTGAGTTAGGAAACTCATTTTTGTACTTTTTTATAGAAAAAAAAAATTGAGATTGTATGCCTCAGATTTCTCACCTTTGATCCAGCTTCTAATTGTAGTTAATTTTTGTCTCTGAAGTGTGGTAAAATTTCCTCTAAGAATCTGGTAGGATAATTTTTTTCATGGAATGGCGAATTGAAACATTTTTCTCTTACACTATATCCCTGCAAGTTTCAAACATTGACAAAGCAGCAAAAGACAGAACCCTTTTCATTACATGTTTTACTTCAATGAGTCAAAAGGCAATTTTTATTTCGTATTCCTTTTGCTTTTAACTCTTAAAGGGTTACTTATTGATTTTATTTCGTGCTTTCAACAATTACAGTATTTAATGTCATGACTGTACAGAAGATGCATAGTTACTCATGGGATTTCCAATTTGACAAAGTACTGAATTATTTCATTATTTCTTCATCTGTTTAGCTTCACCACGAGTTCAAAAATGTCATGAATGGGTACAAACAATCCCTGTTACTCCAACTGGGCGCAGATGCGAAAAAAGATGCCTCATCGTTCCTTGCCCCTGCCAACGTTGTACTGCCAAGAGCTGTCGACTGGAGAACTGCCGGCGCTGTCACTCCTGTTAAGAATCAAGGCCACTGTGGATCTTGCTGGTCATTCAGTACGGTGAGTTGAAAAACAATTTGCTTCTTATGGTCCTATAGTTCTATTAGGGCCCCCACATTATCTGTAAGTATTGGGACGTTGGGTTTTGAGAAAATTTAACTCTTACAACGACAATGAAACATAATTCATAACTTATTTTTAAAGGACATCGCACACTCCTTGTGGCAATGTGAGCCTAGTTTGATTTTCAATTTTGCTATTGAGAAAAACTTTGGATATTCTAAACTATGGATGCTGATCAAAAGTCATCATTGCACCTACCTATATGTATTTTCAATGAGGCACCAATGTTGCACAGTCCGTGTGTAAACTTTCAAAAATTACTTTACAAACAAACTGAAATTTAACCGGATCTGTGAAAAGGGACCTATCGTCTGGGAGAAAATGTTCCATAACTTTTTGCAAATACATGAAAGAAGAAAACCTGGAAATTTGTATGCAAGTTTAAACGTGAAAATTTAGTAATCGAAGGAGAAAGAGTCCCAAAATTTCCCAGGTTGTGAAAAAACGTGGTTTATGTGTTCAAAAAAACTGACGGAAAATTTACTGCTAGAAGATAAGGTTCCTTCTCAAAGATTTGGTCACAAATAAATTTGGTTAACTCGTCTGCTTTTTTTTTTGTTTGGAAACCTTTACTGAATCAAGGGTTAGTTGAGATGTTTTTAGCGCCTAGATTTGCCTGGCACACAAGTTACAGGCATATAAAAATGGATCACGAACTGAAAAATATCAAAGAGAACTCTAGACTAGTTGTGGCAGGAAAGAAGTAATGCAAGACGAAAATGACGCAAAAATTAAGTTTTCTACAAATTGAAAAATTGCTAATTTTTTTTCTGACTCCTTCAAGTGCCTTTAAGCACAGTAAAGAATGAGTATGGAAAGACAGGGATCCTTAGGAACTTATGCTCTTCTTATGACATGAAACTCAAAGGTTGTGGGCTAAGATTTCAAAGAAATTAGTGGATGGAAGATGACTCAGATAATAGAGAAAGGAAGAACGATTTTTGCTCTTTAGTGTTCATTCAAGTGACTAGACCAAAAATTCAATATGTAGCTGTATGAAGGAAACAATTTTCTTCTTCCTTATCGTTTGTCAATTCCACGTCAGCCAATTGCGCATTAATCAATTCATAGCGTCATTGCGTCATTTTTGCAATCACACACTTGATAAAATATTCCCAAGCTCAAGGTGGCCCATATAGCAAAATATGTTTTACTTAAATTTGTTTTACTATTCACCTTTATCTGTTTCTGTTTTTTGCTGTTCTTACGTTGTTACTTGTAATCATAGGTGCTTTGCTGGTCTTTACTGATAACCTTTCTCTGGCATTTAATCTTTTAAAATTTTGCTGCGCAGTGAAAAATATTATCACTGGGAAGAAGAAAAACTTTTAAGTCCAAAACTTAAGATACATGCCTTTGTTTACTTTGTACCATCTCCTTTAAGCAGGTTTTGGAAATGAAATTGGTGGATAATTTTCTGTATGAATTCCAAATTAGTTAAATAAGATGAATTAATTACCCTTCACACATCTGTTAATATTACTGGAATTGTGAAATGATGCGCTAAGGCTAAGGTTTGTGGAGGAATGGATCTTGGATTACCTAACTCTCATCCTTAATTTTTGAACTACACTCAAGCTGATATTCAAACGGACCTTTTAAATCAAATCTGGCTTATTGTATCTTTTTCAGACTGGTGCCCTTGAAGGTCAGCATTTCCGCAAAACAGGCCGCCTAGTCTCTCTTAGTGAACAGAACTTAATTGACTGCTCTACAAGGTATGGCAATCAGGGTTGCAATGGAGGTCTCATGGACCAAGCTTTCCAATACATCAAGGACAATCAAGGAATCGACACTGAAATCTCTTACCCCTATGAAGAGCATGTGAGTAAAATAGCTACTCATTCTTTTTTTTTTATTAACATACATAGGTGTACAGCTCTCAGATGTATGAGTACCTTCTTTGTCGTTTTCAGTAGGGGTGTAGAAAAGTTCAGCTTTCCACATTTTCTTGCTCTTGCCAGGTTCTTGTTTTTTTGGAGGAGGGGGGTGGGGGGCTAAGCTTTCCTAATTGTTAATTTTTCTCTATAAGCACTCAATGGATTTTCCTAATTTGCTACAGTTCGAAGATCACAGAAAGGGATGTTTTTTTTTTTTCATTTTTAACTTAATATTTAAGCAAAAAATAACATCAAATACAACCCTCATGATTTGTTTTTTTTATTTTGGAAAGTAAATGAACTAAAAGCATTACTGAAGGTTCAGAATGGAGTCCTACACTTCAAACTATGACCATGATTTTACTTTCGGAGAATCTTCAGTGACTCTCAGTAAAAAATTTTCCTGCGGCAGGGGCACCACCACTGTGACATGATTTTTATGATCATGTTGATAGTGCATGTACAGCTGCACAAGTACAGCTGTACAAGTCTTTGATTTAATGCGAAAATTAGAGAGAGTTCTATTCAAAAGGAAGAGTCATAAGTCATAGCTCAGCTAGAACATTTTTCTTACTATTCATACCAAAAAGGATAAAGAGGCTCTTAAAATTGATCCCAGCAAAAAGTATGGTCAAAAGGAAAGACCTAGATGCGACGTATCACAAGTAATTGCTCTCGACAATTATGGATATCTCTCTCACACCTTGAGCTATTCCTTTTGCACCTGCCCTAAGAGAAACAAACAAATCAATCATCAATTTCTAGGCTTTACAAAGCTCTGCTTTTTATTTTCTTTTAGTCATGCACATTCTAGACATGTGCTGCCAGAACTCATAAATCTCAGAATATAATATATCCATTGTGCTAGCAGCATAACAAGGTGATTTGTTTCGGATCTAAAGCCGAAGATTCACTTATTTAATTGAATGGAAAGGTAGATCTGCCATGCCTTCTTGGTTGATATTTTTTATGTAACTAACGAATTTGATTTGTTTCCAGGATGACAAGTGCCGTTACAAGCCCAGACAAAAGGGTGCAACTGACAAAGGATTCACAGATATCGAATCAGGTAGCGAATCAGACCTCAAAGCTGCAGTTGCTACTGTTGGTCCAATCTCAGTTGCCATTGACGCTAGCGCAGAAGACTTCCAGTTCTACTCAGAAGGTTTGTTACTTCATTTTATTAAAATCTGTAGCCTCTTTTTACATTCAACTATCCTACCTTACAAAAAAAAAAAAAAAAAAAAATATTGTAAATTAATTATTACGGTAAGTAGCATTAGTAGTATCGTGTAAAATTTATTAGGCTCCAAAGCATCTAGTGGCCATTAGGTACCGGAAGTGAGTCTATGAAAAGGCTACATACATTTTGGGAGGAAGAGGAAACAGGAATGGAAATGCACTTACTACTATAATTATCTACAACCCCCCCCCCCCCCCCC